GCATCCTATTTCTATAGAGCTCCTTTTGCAGACGTTCGTAGCTTAGGCGACTGAAATACTTGGTCATGAACCAGAATAGGCGCATCGAGATATTTCCTGATATTTATGTCCTAAAAAACGTTTTTTATACGATTACACTAGAGAAAGATTAGTAGATTTGGGTTTCGAGAATATTCATTCTAAAAGTCTTTATCCTGTCTATTCAACATGTAATATTCTTCTACATAAACAATGTCATTTGCGACCTAAAAGCAGACGAACTTGTAGGGAAGCTTTTAAGACTGCAAGTTTACCTTGCAGGTCCACTCGTGATTTGAACTAATCCTTTACTCTTCTTAAAATTGCGTTTATAACATGCAGAGCTTAGCATATGCATATCACTAAACAAAACCGAAGTTCGTCTTTTATCGACTTCTAGATCGTTATCAAAACCTAGGGACCGATTTAAAGCATTGCTCGTTGTTATGTTATATGCGCATGGGGCCATCATGTCGGTGCGTGCTCATTGCGGACGAGTTCGCTAGAAAAGGCCAAAGAACTAATAGCGTTTCAATCGAAACAAAGGCAAGATGAATCGCTCAAGTGATTTCGCAATTCGTCTAATTCCCGACAAAGTGACATCGTGATTCCCTTTAAATATCAGATTTAGGCTGTTGCTAACAATGATATCCTTAGTAAGACACTTCCGTTATACCCATAGGGTGTATGTGTGATTTAACCCACAGGGTCCTGCTATGTACTGGGCAGATAGATTCGATAAAAACAAGCGGTGCACGTATAGCTGCACCTACTCTGAGAATATTACTCTGGCTCGTGCGGCACGAGGTGGACGTCAGAGGCAGTACTCAATTTTACCACTATTGGCAAGCGGCCAAAGAGAAGCAAAATATATATATATATATATATAACAACTAAATATTTGAACAATATTGACAAACAAGTAAAATAAAAATATAGCTTTATGAGTTATTGCCCATAGTCATCATTCTAAATAAAACAGCTATTAGTTACAATAAATGGACAAATGTTCAACCTTACCCACGCTGTCAGGTCCACTAGTTTATCGGAACCATAACCCTGATACATACTTTGTTACCTTCGTTACATATATATATATATATATATATATATATACAATACCATCATTACTATAAGGTGATTCAACTGGCTTTCTAGTTCAGTTTTTTTCATTTTGTTTGCTTTCTATAGACTTACGATCTCTCAAATTGAGCTTCACTAAATGCGAAGATTCATAGTTTATTGCGAAGACCTTGTACGACTACATACTACGGAAAGAAGACGAAAATAAAATCGCGCTTTACGGAGTATAACGGTGTTCACTTTCTTGTAGCATCATTGCCTCAACTTGCAACGGTTTTTTCGTATGATTTTACTAAATTTTTTGCTGCAAAAGATATTGTTGTTCTATATCATTCGTTGATTCCAAAAGTACCTGAACTGTACGAGAAACAGGATTTTGGCTAAGTCATTATAGCCACTGCATATAATACGCGTGAAAAAGTTAACATGAAGAAACATGCATGTAAATATACCTGTACATATATACATGTAAAATATGCAAAGTGTACCAAAACCCCTGGGAACTATTGTGTGCATTGTGGAATCGACGTCTCTTTTGTGTTTTGACATAACCAGGGTTGTCTTAGGGCGCCTCCCAATACAGGCCACGAATAACGCAGTGTTGGGCCGGACAACAACCGTTTTAGCCTTCTTTTAAAGTATGTTAATAAATACAGTTGCCGATCTTTAGTGATGTCTTCGAATTCCTTTAATAATTCTGAAAATGGGACCGAGCAGCATTATCTCGAGAAGATCCATGCCAGTCGAGACACGTCCTGTCAGACACGACGCTGGTTGCGAACAAATCGACTACAATATAGATAACATCAAATATTAGTGATATGACGTTGAAGTTAAGCCAGCCAGGTCGAAGAGTGTGCCGATGGAAGAAAACTCTTTCCATGGAAAGCACAAGAAGATGGGTTCTAGGAACAGTTACGATGACAAAATCTTAGTGAATTCTGCCTTTTATGAAGAGGAATAAGGCACAAAAAAAAACATACAGAATAGTGCGTAAGTTATTCGCGCTTTCTACTGGAAGCAACTAAGCTATCTATTGCGTTGTATAATGAGGAAACCGTGCAGAAGTAACTTCACTTAGATGATGCCTCTGATTTGCACTGAAATGGCTCGCTTAGTGTGAGTGTGTACTTCATTTCTGGTAGTCCGAAGCGACAATTTTTCAGACAGGAGGCAACGGATTTATCGCAGGACCCAAGGGCGGACAGTTGCACCTGAGATATCTTTCCTTTTATTTGGTCAGTTTGCACTCAAAGATGCGCGAAATCTCAAACATGTTAGCAAAACTGACCTAAATCCGCAGCACGAGTAAATGATAACGTATCCAAGGGCCTGTTGCCTTTTAACCTCTTATTGTCGCATCGTAGATAAACCAAACATTACCCGAAAAAGACTATTTTCATACGGTAGTAAACAGTACCCGATAGTGGTTTCGGCGGTGTACCACGATCATAGCTATACACTCAGTTGCGCGTAAATTTTCCGATATTTGGTAGCTGCGATACTCTACCCCGAGTTCTACCAGCGTTTGATGGTTATCACTGGTAAACGTATACTAGTAGATCTGGTCGAACTCAGTTTGATTTGACTCTGGATCTGGGCGATCCAAAGATCATCAGTTTTCTGGAATTATTCTTTCCGCTCGATGTTCTCTCATCGGCCGATTACACAGTTTCATTTTGTACATATACTTGCGCAGGTGCTGAAGTTGAAAAGGTAAATACTTGAGAACGCCTTAGCTGTTCGGTTCGTGAGATGACCTTTAGAGTGTACCAAGGTTATTACCAACCACCGTTTTCAGTCTCATTGTCTAAATACCAATACAGATTTCAACTGATTGCTATACGTAAATTGTACAGGTCGGTCGAAAACTGATTCTTGTTTAACTTCAATGAAGAAAGAAGAAAATTTGACTAAAACATTGGTAACAATGTTTGGCATAGAAGAGTAGTGGGGTGAAGTAACACGCAGTGTCAACTTTTTTTACGTTAATAGAAGCAATGAATGGCACAATTGGACGCTGTCAAGCTAATCAACAACTTAATGCAGTACCTGATCGTAGACTATACACTTTGTCGGTATTTCTTCTGTAATCAATATGAATTCGATCCTGCCATACGGCGTAACACCGATTAAACGACATTTTATACCTTTGAAAATGAAAGGCATCTCAAACAGGCCTTAAAGTCACTAACTAATTGACACTGTACACACCATTTCTAAACATATAGCACAGCTTGAAAAATAACAAAAGTGGCCTTTTATATTTTACATAACAACAACAAACGCGTTCGACCGGGACAAATCTGTCATCGAAAAGGGGCTGCGTGAAGTCTCCTCACGGCAATAGCAGCTTTGTCGGGACAGGGTCACAGCCTTTTCGCGCCTATAAAAACTATAAATAGAGGACAATCAGCTAGCGTTAATCTCTGGTCGCGTTGCATAGCGCCCATTATCGCCTAATTATCCTGATGCGCTGGCTCTACATCTTACATGGATGGGCTAGAAGCTGTCACATTGGAGAATACTTCCACTCGGCCACAGCTATCGGCCTTGCATTGTATAATTCTGCGACTAAAACTGTCGCAGGGAGACGTCGCAGAAGGCAGCCTATTGGGGGCCATCGGCAGGTGGTTCTTTTCTCGCACTTTCGGCCGAATCTGTCACGTGCTTCACGTTCTAGGTCTTTGCGTGCTTGTATTATTATTATCATTGAGTTGAGTGGGTACCAATCCGTCTCCAGATCTGTCCTGGTATTGCCCGACGTCCAAAGAAATGTACGGACCAGCGAGTTGTATACGATTAGTAATATACTGCACCATATAATAATAATATAGGTAACAGAATAACTAATAGTATACTTGTATGGTCTTCAGTATCTGATAATTACATTACATAGGGAATATTAATGAAGCAATACTTAGGGATGACGTGTTGCCAGAGTAGTACAAGCCGAGTCGGGTTCGATTCTATGCATTATAAAAAAGGAATATTTGAGGGGTTTGCTTACGAGGTGTGTAACTTCAGGCGTTACATTTAATTCGCAGTCCTTCACCGTATGTCTTTTCTTTTACCTACGGTTATTTTTGGATACAATAATAGGCGCAGTGGCCTAGCACTGATGAAGTGTGAATACGGATACTCAAAGATGATTCTAGATATTTGGACGCACTCTGCGACCAACTCAAGACTTTTCGTCAGATTACCTACCATCGAGATTCATAATATGCAGTAACACATAGATTCACAAGACAAAATATCTGCTTTTTTGACTGATAACTCTGTATTTGGCCAAGGTAGAAGCTAGATATCACAAATTGGTTTTCGGGCAATTTTTTCTTTTAACCATTTAAGTGGGGGTTGGCTGCTGCCATTTCCGAAAGTGATTGCTGCCGTCTCTCCGTTTTTTGCCATTATATATTATAGTTTAGTCTCTAATTGCATTCAGGTATCTCCAAAACATAAATAATGAGATAAAGTTTTATAGCAAACTGAAGCAAAAGCTTATGTTACTAAGACGGATTTGCTGTCATTTCTCATTTTAAGGTCAGTAAATTTGTCATAGACTCTTATGGAGGCCAGGTTCTCTATGAAAAGACGTTATATGTACATATAATTTGTATGTACATTCTCGAAATCGAAACTTTAAATGACCACTTCTGAAATGGTAGCAGATTTGAACGATCAGACTAAAGCTGGAACAATATTGTACCTTTATACCTCTCAAGGCGGTGGCCCAATTTTTAGTTAGCATAATTAGGCTAACAATTATGTATCAGTTACCACTATTAGACTTAGTAACTTTCACGTTTGTTTATCATGCCACTCTATTAATACAGTTATGGTAACAAGAAAAAGCGTAGCGCATAAAAGTCTGTATATTTTTTTACTTTTCTGTATGTGTTTTTATTTATTTTATTAATAAATATTTTGAAGATCTTATAAATCAAACAAGTTTCTATACCTGAATACAGAATATCATTAACAAAGATATAGTGGGGAAAATATTTTTCCGATCATCTATTCATCACAACAATCTGGGTCCCCATATCTTATAGCAAATACAACGAATGTTTCGAATAAAACAAACAATTGAACTGAAAGGATGTCAAACTTTGGTTGCCGCACAGGTAGAAAGGAAACAGTTTATAGGTCTAAACTCGGTTCTGGAATATATAGCATTAATGACCATCTGTTATAAAATGTACGTCGCTGTATAGTGATCGGCTACAGTGCCTAAGCTAGCTACATATACATATTACAATCTGCTATGACTATGGAAATGATAAAAACGGTCGCAAGCTATGAGAGCACCACTCGTCGAGAGGTTTACAAGCTTGTACTTCAGACAAATATTAGATATAAAAAATTTTATATATATACGTTAGCATTATTAGACATGTGCTCTTGGCCTATCGGCCATTCATATAGTTTATCTCAGTACATCTCTGTTTGATCTTTTTCTGACTTTTTACATTTATCCACCGAATAGTCGTTCTAAAATTCAGCTTCCTCGTCATTGCCTGGTACATTCGAATCGGAGCCGATTTCTTCGTAATCGCGCTCCAAAGCGGCCAAGTCCTCGCGAGCTTCAGAGAACTCACCCTCCTCCATGCCTTCGCCAACATACCAGTGGACGAACGCCCTCTTCTGGTACATTAAGTCGTACTTGTGGTTCAGACGAGTCCAGGCTTCGGCAATGGCAGTCGTATTCGACAACATCGTGACGGCGCGCGGTACCTTGGCAAGATCGCCTGTAGGAATTACCGCTGGCGGCTTATAGTTAATACCAACCTTAAAGCCGGTTGGGCACCAGTCAACGAACTGTATTGTACGCTTCTGTTTGATGGCTGCAATCGCTGCGTTCACATCTTTCGGTACAACATCGCCGCGGTATAAGAGGCAGCACGCCATATACTTGCCGCTCCGGGGATCACAAACGACCAGCTGATTGGCCGGCTCGAAGCAGGTATTGGTGATCTCGAGTACGTTATGCTGCTCGTGGTGAGCCTTCTCAGCAGAAATGATCGGAGCGTAAGTGACGAGGGGAAAATGGATTCGCGGGTATGGAACTAAATTAGTTTGGAACTCGTTAAGATCAACATTCAGCGCTCCGGAGAAACGTAGAGAAGCGGTAATCGCCGAAACGGCCTGACTGATCAGACGGTTGAGATTCTGGTACGCCGGTCGCTCGACTCCAAGGTTCCGACGGCAGATCTGATAGATGGCCTCATTGTCCATCATGAAGACGCAGTCGGCGTGTTCGAGGGTAGCATGTGTTGTCAAGACCGAATTGTATGGTTCGACAACAGCAGTACACACCTGCGGGGCTGGATAGATTGTAAAGCTCAACCGACATTTTTTGCCGAAGTCCTGTACTATACCCTCCATGAGGAGAGACGTAAAACCCGAACCGGTCCCACCTCCGAATGAATGAAAGATAAGGAATCCCTGAAGGCCATCGCACTGATCAGCCATCTTGTGCATCCTGTCCAATGTTGGCTGGATGACTTCTTTACCTACTGTGTAGTGCCCTCTCGCATAATTGTTAGCCGCATCTTCTTTGCCAGTAATCAGCATCTCAGGGTGGAATAGAGATCTGCCAAGCAGAATAAATACAGAAAATAGAATACCAAGATTATTGGCTTTACTTGTTCCAAAGTTAGACTTCGATACGACAGCTAATTCACATGTTATTTAGAACAGAGCAGTTCCTAAGATTTAAATATCAATTACCATGAAGGATAATAATGATAAAATTAACTTGTCCATTACTATAATTGCTAAATTAGGATATGTTGCATCATTTGACACAGATATGCACTGGGTTGAAAAGAAAGTTCCCCTTATTTAATTTTATTGCAATTTTTTAACAAGTGGAAATGGTGTCCTTCATTGAATTTTGCCCATGTTTCTGATAGCTAATATATATCGCGAAGAAAAGAGGCTTTGTCCTGTAAATGATTCGATATCGTTCGCTCTTTATAACCGTCCGGAGCGTGGCTTGTCATCCAGATAGAACTTTCCGGTTTTGAAATGATTATGTCAAAGCTGGCAAAAGGTAACGTTTAGTGCACATTCGCCTTTGACTTTATAAAGGATTCCAACACGAAAACAGTGAAGTAAACAATGTCCAGTAAAGATCTTCTCGAGCTCCACGACTGGACGCATGAATCATTTCTTCTAACAATAAAAGCCTCATGAACACCACAAGGCCATGCTCGACAGGCAAAACACCTAATGGAGAAATTTCAGCTAAGTACGATCAGCCGACCCGACATCAGCGTTATCCGTCAGCTCCGATGGAAACTTTTTTTCAGCCCAATACGTAATCACAGACACACGCACATACACACACATATCTTTAGAATAAATAAAGCGAACTTTGCCCACCTGAACTTTCCAGTTTTGACCTCGTCTATGACCGTTGGTTCGAGATCCACGAAAAGCGCTCGTGGTACATATTGCCCGTCGTTGGTAGCCGAGAAGAAGGTGTCAAAGCTTGAATCCCTTGGAGTCGGATCACCGCCTTCATTGAGCGTACCGTCAATGTTGATATTGTGTTCAAGGCAGTATAGCTCCCAGCAAGAGGCCCCCATCTGAACGCCAGCCTGGCCAATGTGAACGTTGATAATTTCCCTCATTGTGAGCAATTTTTGGCTGAACAAAGGAGCACATAAATTCATTGATCAATGAACTAATTACTGAAATAGATGAAAAATCGAAACAGATGTATTTGCAGGCGCGACATTACGTACGCGAACAGCCTTTAGATATTTTTTAGCCTTCGATACTCGCCATGTCATTGATAACACACAATCGCCATGTTTTGGTTGATTGCTGGAATTAGAATATTACAGACTAAGCTAAAGATATAAACGTGCAGTAAGTGGGTTAGTCAGCGTTCTAACGAGCATCGGCTATTAATAATAGCCCAAATAATATCACGATACTATACATTGAAACAATAGCCACTACAGATACCGCCTGCTATCGAATTTATCTACATACACTCATTAACGAGTGAAGTTTCTTGCTGTGTTGCTAGCATCTTGTGCATAGTATGACTGGGACATCGGTGTCGACAAAATGAATAGATTAGCAACAAATACATTCCACACTATGCAGACGGGATAGCTTACCTACTTGCGTGCGTCTTGTAGTTGTAGCTCTACAGAGGTGCCTCTCGGCCGGCGTCCTCAAGCGATGTGTAAGCTCACCTTAAACTGACCGTGCATCATCACGAACCTTAAAGACTGCACATCCTTTAATAACTTTCAAGTTAGGAGACCAAGGATAATGCGTGCTAGCATCTAATCATCGAATCCAAGTTGTAGGCTCTTCAAGCTGAACGTGCAGATAGCGGAGCGGAGCAGAGCAGCGGTTTTTATGAAGCACCTTCGAGGCACGCACGTTTACATGCGTGCCTCGAAAAGTACATAATGTGTTTTGCGCACTATGAGAACTACACACACGCAAGAGGACGTTTTTCAGGTTTATGACTGCCTATATATATATATATGAACTGGATCACATGTCGCATATAGCCAGCTACGCACAACGGAGTACGAAAAAAACTTTTTGATGCAGCGGAAAGAGCCATGAACAAGGCGCAGCAAAATCAATGATATTTCCTGCTGTTACCATGTCTATATATATATATGGCTTGACAATATGTCAAATGATCAATAGTTTGTGCACAATACCCATTCGAGTAGCTAGCTTATTGCAGACATTGGACGATATACAATAAAAACATTGAAGCAAATAAGCTAGAAATAAATACGCTCCGTCTAACTAAAAGTAACCAACACCCGGTACGTCTAACGAAAACAATAAACAGGTATCGTCATCCGGATCCTTCTCTCGCTAAAAATTATTTCACTTATATTATAATGAAATGCTTTTGAAGACGAACGACGAAAGAACTTGACGGCGACGCCAATTACAACGTCAGCTGTTGATTGCGGGCACCACGAAAAGCTACTAACATTATACAAATACTCCTTATCCAGCCATTTACTTGCTGGTACTTTTATTACTCTGCCAAACATTTGAATGGTTCTTTATATAAACAAACAGGCTCACAAACAAATACAAACACGCAACGTTGTTTGATATTCATAGTTTTTCGAACACAACGCAGACGCACAGTTCGAGCATTCGCTTTCACATCGTTCGAATCTATCATTGGTTCCTCTTTATGAGCCGCGCTTCCTGTACGGCGACAGCAGTGGCGGCGGCAGAAAAACTTTTGCTTGTGGACAGCAATAAAAACAGCGCTGGTGATGATCGCACTTCAGATCTCGCAGCCCCGCACAACGTACGTTCGACACGTTAACTGACAACTTTTCATGGTGATAATCGTGACTCTGATGATGCCGGCAATGATGTTCGCTTCGGCGTCCGTTAGCCACTGGTTAGCATCGCTTTCTTCGATGATTCTCTCTATTTTTAGCAGATACATCCATAAAGTTTCTTATTTATTCCCTCGTTCCTCGGTGTGACGCGGGCGGCAGTGGTAAAAGCAGCGACCGTACCGGGAACGTTTGTGGCAGCTAGGTAGTTACTTACCATTTAACGGAAATTAAACATATATGAAAGGTGATTTTGACCCGGCTTTGCCCGTTCGTCGACGGTGCCTTCCGGCATCGGGCAGCAGAATACCCGCAAAGACTATTTTACACTTCAGCTTCTAAATACACACGTGTATACTCGCATACATGACGCAGTGAATACTGATAAGCTCTGACTCCAACAGAGAAAAAATAACGGCAAACCACAGCTGAAGCAGCAGCGGTGCCACCGGCAAACAACAGAAACGGCTATTTTGAAATCGGCTTAACGGGAGCACCGGAAAGCCAAGAGCACCCATATATATATAATTAAGTTGTTGACGGCGTAACTATCACAACCGAAAATGGCAAGTGAGGCAGTTACAGGAAGGAAACAACGACGGATGACATAAGCATACCCAAAATTGATTTGGTTTATTAGAAAAAATTTCAAATTTCAAAATAAACGCAAAAACAGCGCCGCGAAGCGCAGGACATCAACTGAAACATATCAGCCGTAGCCCGCATTACGTTGTATTAAGATTTTGACGAGTCTGCTAACTACAGAATATACAGGATGGCAGTGAAACCAGTATAAATTGAACGAAAGACACATTTATTAAGATCAAGCGAGATACAATATAATGCATTAAATATAGCGGGTTGCTATTCAAGGCTATATTAGAGGCCTTATCAGCATAGTATTGTGCTTGGTTAACTCTAAGGCTTATCTGTTAACTTTTCGCCGAAGAACTTTACTGAGAAGGTGCACCGTTTCTCTACGTCTAACAAAAAGCTGGCATTTCTGATGTGCGATGTCGCATCATATTTCGCATACGCTGTATTTGGTCTTCAGCTTATTTAGACTTTTTACTGGAGTCCTAAAACGACACTTCACAGAACGATAACTAGGTTCATAAAAAATATACAATAACATAATCAGTCAGCTATGCAGGTGGTGCTTGTACACACAGAGGGTTTCTTGTTAAAAAATAAATAAGACCACTTTTTTTGGAAGTTGAAAGGCGGGAAGTTACTTATGAAGGAATTTATACGTGGGTTTTTTCAGCAAAATATATTGATTATTCTGCCTGCCAATATTTAGCCTGTTAATTGCATCATTTGTTTTCAGTTCAGCTTCTAAAATTAAAAACGTGGTGGTACCCGCGGCACCAAAAAGATCTATTTAAAAATATGCGTTCTGCGCAAACTGTAGACTTACCATTATGCTTTATTTGCAAATAGTTGTTCGATTTACACCGTGCAAAATACATGTAATGATTTATTGTCTGACCTGTTTGTATTAAACGTATCGTCTGTAAAGCGTTTTGTGTGTCTTATTAATGTATTGCCATGTAAACAATATTTTCTTCCCACTAGAAAATTTCCCCTTTCAAAACTATTTACGTCTTCCACGCGGGTTATTACAGTGATTATTATATCGGTACAGGATGCACAATACGTGGGAGTATGTTTGTCATCGACAGGAACGATCTAGAGCTCGTCTCGGTTTGGTCCTCAAGCCCGGTATGCCATATATATCAAATATGTTTGCACCGCCAAACTGGCATTGTTGTCGCCGTTTTTGTCCAATCTTCTTGATAATGCAAGTTAGTGCTTCCTTTACCGATCTCCGAAATCGGAAAACCTTTCGCGTTAGATAGATTGATGTCTTCGCTGCTCAGTAGATGCTGATTCTGGCTCTGTAATAAATGCTAGTCGTCGATTCTGACCAAATGTTTTTTTAAAGGCAGCAGCAGCAGCAGTGGCAGGGGACGGACGACGCGCTCTGCTTCGAGCTCGTAATTCAGCGATTCAAGATGTTATAGTACCCACCAATATATTGTATTGTCCAGGAAATTGCAGACTGTTTGGGTTTCCTTTGGACAGCTTTCTACGTTGGCCGGTTTTCCATGCTTCCCGGTCATCGCTTATTCCATGGCTCGCTGCTAAAAACGGAGGCTTGACGTGCATTCCTATCGAAACAGAAGAAGATATAGTAGAAGACGGAAAATCGGAGAGTGAGACCAAGATAAAGTTCATAGATATATATTCTATATATAGTGCACAATTTTCTTCGCTCAAGCTGTACAAGAGGAATAGGTTTCTACCAGCAGCAGACGAAGCTATTGTAGTGGCCGGCAGTGGCTTGAAAGCATCGTTTGATAATCGCTCACCGCTTTTCTTGATGACCCCTGTAGATATAGATTTCGTTCTTCTTCGAGCTGTTGCTTGTTTACTATGATAGCTATCCAACGAGCTAACACTTGGTTATTCGTTGTCGTAGACATCGGCAGTGGCAGGACCTGCAACTCATCTGGTTCCGTGCTGAGGCAATGAACGCAACAATTAAATCACACCAGCAGACCACTTCTACCGCCCGCCATTTTTTTCGATGACTTGCTTCTTTCTCTCGTTGTCGTTCCAGGATAATGATATGCGATCTATCCGTATGCGCCACTGTGTCTATTATTCGAGGCGGTGAACATAGCGTGATTGTTGAGCCGGCGCTGGGGTCGGTGCCCCCGCTTTCCGCAGCCGTATGGTCCCTCCTCTTGCCGTCGAAAATGACAGCGGTTCTTTTGTATCTCGTGAGGAAGCGTGAAGTAGCGCTCATCGGATTGCGAGTGCGTGCAGCTACTTCCTGCGATAATAACGATGACTCCTGCAACGGTAACGGTACCACCAACGCTAGCACCTGGCAACGGCTAAAGGCCGGTATCGTCCTTATTTGCTGTTTGTCTCCTGCTGCGGCTGCCGCCGCAAGAGAAGACACACTTCTGGTGTCCCGTATAGTTCCACCATCTTTCTGGATGGTCGTAGTGACGAATACAGAAATGAAATAAGCGAAAGTGGGTGGAAAAAAGAGATAAGGGAAGCTAGGTACAACGGGGAGTAGAACGCTTGGCTTTTAATATGGCTACCACTGCTCGTTGGTTTTGCAGGCCCTAACGACTGTTCAACGTCGTGGGCTTGGGAGCCGCGGGGCGCCTGTCCACCTTTTCAGGCGGCAGGCCAACGACAGCTGTTAAATGGGGTCCGACTTTTGGCCCGACTCGGCTCAGCTCGTCTCATTCAGAATGACTGGCGCTGGGCCCGCATGACTGTTACTGTTGCTGCTGTCGCCATCGCCGTTGTTACTGCTGTTATCGGTACGGCTCGATTTCGCTTTCTCGTGATGGTGCTTCGGGAAAACGCTTCGACTATGACTGGCGCAAGCCAGCAGTGTTGTTTTTTTCTATTTTCTCGCTCCCTCAGTCAGGCATCAGCTGCAGCAGCAGCTGAGCGCTTACTACCCGGTGGGGCACGGAACTCGGTACCCGGGTCGGTCGCGTTAAAAGCGCAGTTCGCCGGCGAAACCACCGCAGTCGCCATTTGAAACGCGGCGCTGAGACGTAAAAACAACATGCGGCGTATGCTGCTATTCACGTTGGTTGTTGCCATCGGAACCATCGCGGTTGTCGCCAAGGATGTGCCCACCCCAGAGAGTGCTATCTCGCCTAACGTCGATGTGCCTATCGAAGAAGTGGTGCGTGAGGAAGCAGTTCTTGGAGGGCAGGTTCATTTCGATGGGTACACCGTCTATCGGTTGCTTCCACAGGAGCCAAGTCAACTGCAGTACATTGCCTCACTTGAAAACGAACAGGATACGCCATACGACTTCTGGAAGCACGCATCCGAGTTGGGCCAGTATGTTGATATCAATGTTTCACCATCAAACAAGGCAAGGTTCAACAAAGAAATCGAAAGGCGAAATATCAGCTCGGCTGTACTCATTGAAGATCTCGAGCAGGAGATTCGCAACGTGACCTCACAAAGCGCAAGTCCTGAGGACCCGACAGATCGAAACCAGCACAATTTCTTTCTCGATTATCGAAGTTATGGCGAGATGGGGAAATACCTTGACCAGCTCGTCTATAAATACAACTCAAAAGACAAGGGTCTTCTCGTGAAGAAGCACAAGATTGGACTGTCGTCAGAAAAACGTGATCTTCACGTTCTTGAGGTGAGATAGATAGAAGGTCTATATTTGTTTCCCAATCTGTTATTATAGGTTTGTACAATTATTATTCGTTTTCATAAGTCCGCCTGTTTTGACTGACACCGATAAGACAATGGCTCGAAATGTCTAAGTGTAAGTAAAGCCTGTCATATGTCTGTGCTGGTCTCCCTGGCAGATTACAACGGCGAGCAACATCCTCAAAAAAAGCATTTGGCTTGACTCTGGCATGCATGCGCGGGAATGGATTGGACCGCCAACAGTAATGTACATCGTTGAGGAGCTACTCAAAGGTTACAAGGTCGATACCAACGTGACGGATATTCTTGACAATTTTTCGATTTACGCTATGCCAGTGGTTAATCCTGACGGCTATGAATATTCACGTACGACGGTAAGTGGTAAAACGGAGTATGCTTTTGACATCATGACATGCAGCATCCATCGTAAAAACCGTACTGCGCCTCTTGTATAAATAGTGAGTGCAAAACGTCATTTAGAAGCAATTTTTATCCTTCGAAATAGCGTTGCCATATTTGGTACATTTGACCCGACGCTAATAAATAGAAAGAAGGGAAGTCTTATGGGAACGTTTAGGAGAGTTTCGTGATACTAAAAAAAACTGACCTAAGCGATTAGCTAATAATTAATGTTATGCCACCCATTTAATAGAACCGTATGTGGCGTAAGACGCGCTCAGTACGTCGTGACTTCTCGTTCAACGGTTTCCTCGGTCGCTTCGGCGGCTGTGTCGGCGTAGACCCGAACCGTAACTTCCGTTTCCAATGGGGAACTGCTGGAGCATCAACGAATTGTGCCATGGACACTTATGCCGGGCCAAGCGCCTTCTCTGAGCCGGAAACTCGGGCCCTTTCAGACTTCATCTACATTCGCCGTCAGGATATGCTCGCTTACCTTACGTTTCACGCTTATTCGCAGTTGTGGATGACACCTTGGGGATACACGAACGCTCTACCTCCGAATTATAACCGCATGATCGAACTGGCCGAAAAAGCTACTAAGGCTTTGACAAAGGTGCATGGTACCCGTTACAAAGTTGGGTCATCGACCAACCTCTTATACGCGGCCTCAGGTGGTTCAGACGATTGGGCTTATGGAGTTGCAATGATCCCTTATTCGTACACAATCGAACTTCGTGACGATGGCCGTTACGGCTTCGTTTTGCCAACCTCGCACATTATTCCTACGGGAGAGGAAACTTGGGCTGGCGTCAAGGTCCTCATGCAGGAGCTGATCTCTCGAAAGGATCACACTACGACGCCCTAGCGACCACATCCAAATGGAAACCAGAAGGACAATTGTGATAAAGGCAATGAAAGACAGCAAAACATTTGCCGCTAATCACAATATGGTTTTGATGGTCTCACTCGTATAGCCTGATAACGAAATAGAACGCCTTATAAACAGCATCGACAACATGGAGTTTGACTCACGAGTCGTATCTCATTTAATAAGTATTTATTCATAATTATTTAATTAGTGATAATAATAATAATGATAATAATAAAATAATATATTGAATAAAAGCGAAGAGTTTCTTCAGAGAATCTAGCGCTGCTTCCTCTCATATCAACGGTAATAATTCAGTTGGGTAAAGAAAAACAAAGATGATGCATTGAATTATAGACGCACAGAAGTCCAGCATTAGCGCTCAGATAGCCAACTCAATTTCGAAGGGATTAGTACTTCACACACAAAAGGCATCTGATAGACCTATCATGACTATTTGATTCTCATTTCATTAGCATTACCTGATCCTAATTTTATAACGTCAAGTAATATCATAGTACTCTACCATTTCTACAACAAACTAGCGATTAAGTAAATATTTGCTCGCTGCCTATTCATGGTACCAATCTCTGCTGTTCCTTTGCATCTATCTCATTTAAAATACATAATTTGTGTATTTCGCGCACAGTCTAGTTCCCAAAATTAACGGCTGGAGGAATTTTATTAGCAATTATCTTATAGAATCTGCCATAGGTATTCAATAAATTTATTTGGCTTCTTTCAGCAAGTTGAAGCAAACCAAATTTCAGAGGCTGACTCGTTGGCGCTATATGATAATGAGTATTTTCGAAGCTCATAAATATAATAGATCTTAAATCACCAACTCTTTGAGACCTTTTTTAGACAAATTCATTACTACGTTAAAACTGACGTTTGAACTATCGACGTAAATCAGTTGTAAAGCTAACTAACAATTTCGCAAAAAAAATCGAAAGATAAAATCACGTAGGTTTTTTTTACGTTTCTATAAATTTACCTCTAAAATAGAACAAAACCATTTTGGGAAAAGCACGAAAAATATAACAATCGCGCATCACGTGTATTAAAACGTTTACAGTATAGATAAAGTTTCTGTTTCCTTAAACAGACATATTATTCAGAAACAGTGCCTTTTCCAACAAACTTCAAATACAAATGAAGTTACTTAAATGTTTCATTGGTGTGTGGTGAAAGTACCCATTTAGTGAAAGCGTTTATGTAGCGGCAACGTAGTTCATAAGTTTTTTACTGTTAAATTCGGCGGAAGAGAGATCTGTAGGTTACCAGTAATCCAGATCGATTATGAGACAGAGACACTGACTTCGCAGTTCATTGAATATTTTAATTACTATTCTATCAATAACTTACAAATGTTCAATAACAATGAATGCGTACACACTAAACTTTTTAAAAATGTGCTTTAACATTTTTAGAAGGTGATTGAAGAACCTGTCCGGGGCGGAGTTTCTCTCTCAAGAGATATTTCCTTGGGTCACGCTTGTTGTTGCATGCAGGAGTGAATTCGAAGTACTTTGACATGTTGGAAGCCCATTTCGACAACGAATTCTAAATGAAACATGTGAATCAGGTAACGCGTTTTTGGGTCATCGTCGGTGCGAATCTAGTTTTACGTGAAGGATACTCAGAGGCTGTTGGACGTTCTTGGTACAAATGCAAATTTTTGCCACTTATTATATCATACTGTGCAAAGGAAAAGGCAAAATTATCGGTTTCATCCCGAACCTTTTCAGAGTTCAGAAGATTTACACAGAGCAGAACACCTCAATCTTCGTTGTCAAGCGACAGAATATAATTGGGGTTTTTGAAAAGAGCGCGAATATTGTATGAGTCAATATAGAAAGAATTTCCTGTAATGCCAGTGACAGGCTATACGTCCCACTTTAGTCGAGCTCGGTTATACGCTGAGTGCTGTCAACACTCAAGTCTTCATGGGCGTGTCTTGTAAGCGAGAGGCTAAGATTGTCATTGGTTCCTTTACAACTCTTTTTGCGATAAATTAGGCTTGTGATATACTTAGTTTGCATTTCGCAAGAGCCGCTAACAGAGAAAAACTAAACAAAAAGATGAAAAAAATCGGCTTTAATCGAAAATGACTGCGAATGTAATTAATAAAATAAAGGCAGCAGAAGCAAGTAGGCAAACGTTTACAGGCTTTCGCTGTAGACCATTGCGAAATTATGGTGCTAGTGGCATTTGAACGCTTGTTAGGTATATTTTGCAGCCTTTTATTTAAACTTGATATTGTCCAGCTAATACAACGGGTTGATTAATCCGCTCCAACTTACGTAATACTGATGACCTGGTACGCCGTTCTTCTCACCCATGGATTGCTTTAATCAAAATCAATTAAATTCTTTGCTTTGCAAATAATTTGACAGAGAAATATACTAGAAACGAAGCAGCTATTATAATATCTGCCCGGTTCTGCTGTCCGGACTGAGAGTAGTTTTCTTTTTATTAATAAAATCTCGTACATTTTATGTAAAAGTAGAAACTTAAACGAGTTACGTAAGTACGTTCTGTAACGATGTTCTAGCACGCGTTAAAAAATATTATTTTTTAAGTAGAATGGAAAATGAACCAACCACCTCAAACAGGCCAAACGTACGGCATAAAATTGGATCTTTTTCCATTTTGTTTCTACACTCAAATGATGATGCCAGCAACTATCAAAGTTCTCTGCTTTACGCCTAAATAAAATCAATCCATTCAATTAAATCAATTGAGGAAGATAGAAACACAAGCAAATAATTTTTAAAACTTTTGTTTGCCCATATATTAAACATTACGTTGTAATAAAGCAGAAAACCATTAAAGGAGTCTTACCTAATTGTTGGATACGTTGAAGACTTGCATTACTCAAATTGAGTCAAATTTTCGTATACGGCTTTTTTTCCAAGCCCCTATCAAGTGAAAAACTAAATTACCCTGACGATAGTTTACTACTACTTTCCAGCCAGCTTTCCGATAAAGTGAGGTTTCGCCTAACGCATCAACGTCCCAACGTCTATAGTTGGACTTACGAGTCGAAGACTGCTGCTCATCGAAGACATCCTTTATTAATATAACTCCACAGTTATTCTATCGTTATCATTACGATGTACTGCATAAATTAATACCACTTTTATATTAAAGAATAACGAACCAGTAATTCATGGTACCTATATCAGTCTATCGACTCGCTGGCGGATACCAATTCTGTCAAATAATGTTGATGAATATTGGAATGCATTTACTCAAAGCCTCAACTAATCATATGCTTAAAATTTCTTGAATACAATTTTGAAGATATTCCCCTATTCTACTGTATCAATGATCTTCTCGTAATTAAATTACGAATTTAAAACGATCCGTTATGCAGTCAAACAAAATATCATCACACATTTTGAAAGCTTTATACATTTAATTATTATTCACGTGCTCTCTATTACTGTTTTGTCAGCATTGTTATTGTTCGTGTTGTTGCTGTATTGTTGTTAATAGATTACCTAACAGATTCAACAATCGCATCCATATCGACAGCTGTTAGCTCACACCCTTGCCTTCCAGCTTTTTCGCATTTTTCTCCCGCCATGACCGAACACTATAGATATGGACACACATGGCTTTTGCGTGTCTTCATATTCACGTCTGTTTCTATGGCAGCAACCAGGGCCGAAAGCTCTTAATTTTTTCATATCAGAAATGCTGGAAACTATGTGTATGCGACAAGGAGATTTCGATTTACGATTCTTTTGGAGGTCTGTCGACAAGGTCTTAGATGGGTTTTCAAAAGCACTTGATACATGTCTATTGGTCATCGTCTTCTGTTATTTTTTGCTCGCCAACGCACGTTGGTGCCGTTTGGCCACAAATTTTCCAGCATAGCATACATTTTCTGATCGTTTCACGTGTTGCCTTATACTAGCCAAAGCACTGCAAGCCCTGGCGATTCCTACTCTGGTATTTGGATACACGTGTAGTTTCTCATAAGAAAAAAGCGTAGTAGCAGAGACTCCCATCTGATTTTGTTTGTACGTGTGTGTATGTGTGTAGGTGGATCAAAAGCATCTCATAAAATACTCGACCTTAGACTTCCCCTTCGAAAGTCTACACTTGCCAGGTTAACACACGCTGAGGAAGAGGCTGTCCAGTAATCGCAGGCTAGATTCGTTTTTCATTGATAACTTTACTTTCTTTACGTTGTGGGATTTTTTGTTTATTTTTTTTATCCTATCACCTATGTATCTATGACGCCCATTGGGCGAGTTCCGCCAAATCGTCATCCTCTTGCTTCTTCTCCTTGGTCTTGGCAGCAGCGGCGGGCGTGTGCACTGGGACTGACGGAAGGTCGTTAGCCACGGGCGGAGTTTGGATATTGAGTAGGTCTTTTTCAATGTCTTCCTGTTCAAGCGCGTCCAGTTCGTCCAGTAGCTCCTGCTCGTCCACATCGGTGCCAAAGCCAACCGGGTTTGAGATGGCCTCCGAGATCTCGTTGGCTATCTCCTGCTGCTCCTGTACGTCGTCCATCAACTCGTGCACTTTGTCCACATCCCTGTAAGGGTAATTAGAGGAAATACAATCATATATACGTAGCAGCCATTAAGAACATTGAATTTCAAAGAAGAAACGGTTTTCAGCCGCTTTAAAGATGTTTACACCAGGCAGTATTTAAATTAGAAGTTACTGGAAAAGGGGAGAAGGAAAAGGGAGAGAGCGATAAAAAAGAAAAAACGTCTTTAGTTGCCGAGAAAACGTCGCAAAGCCCTAGCAAAAATTTCAAAATTATGTACAAAAAAGTTTATTGCTTTTTATAGGAAGCTGTAATCGATCGAAGCTCCGTTATTTTTTACCAATTTACCATTCTGCTTTAAGTATTCAATTAGGGAAATTCAGCTTGTCTTCTTCATTTTCATAATCAATCTTGATTTGTGGCAACAACAACACTGAAGCTACAGTCCTTAGATGTAAAAACTGTAACTTTAGGGGGAACGGTCTCAACAGGAAAACTATAAAAAGCATGCTCTCGTACTTCGTGTTTTTATATAAAGAGAGAATCGATGATTCTCCTAAAGCCACCAGAGCAAGGTTCCCTACATACATGTCAGCGTGTGCACGTTTCAGTGCTTTGGCAGCATCTCCCATGACCTGGAGTACCGAGGTGTTCGTGTTGGCATTCTCAAGAGCTTCTCGCTGGAACTCGATCGTCGTCAACGTGCCGTCAATCTGTTTCAATTGGTTTTCAAAGCGTTTTTTTCGCTTGAGAGCCGCCAGAGCCACTTCCAACGAATACGATAGAATGGAAACAGAGTTGCGACAAGGAAATATTTAGTCTAATTACTATAATTTATATTATAATTATCCTCGGTAATCGTTTTTCAACGATGCATGTAGGTTGTTTCTAAATGTTTTACATTTATTATTAGGTTCAAGAAGCTTGGTTTCTTTTTCTTGCCAAAAGACAAATTATTAGAGTTCAGGTCGGCTTATCTGAATAAATTTTCTTACCTCGTTTGTTTTTACTGCCATTTTTCTTGGCGATTTCAAGCTCTGCTGTAACTTTTGTCTCGAGGTACTGCTGTTTCTTTTCAAGCATCTCCTCGACATCGCGAAGGCGTTGGATTGCCTCAGCGGGTGACAGGGATTTGGCGTCGGACGATTTACCACCTCCGAAGAATCTCGCAAGCAGCGACATTTTCGTATAAGGCAACGCAAAGATCTTACACTAAATATAAGACGTTTAAAGAGGAAACAGCCCTGCAATCAAAAAAAAAACACAAAACGAAAATTATTTAAAAAGAAGAAGCGTATTACTCAGGTTCCTTTTTTGAAGAACGAAAACCCTTAGAAGGGACTAAAACAGGCTTATTTTCAAATTCCAAGCTATGCACAGGCTTAGATATATTATGAAATATTTTTAGCCACATTGTCACTAATCTCTACCCAATATATTTGACAGCGGTAGATCACCTATGAAGAATGTTCTCAAATAATTTGAGGAGGCTTATATTTTAGTCGACTCAAAACGGTAATTCATACACCTTAACGTCCATTGAATCATAACAATGGCGTTTTGTCCTTCATGTTTCTCCAGCATTGACTCACTTAGGATACAAAGCCATAATTTACTATTATCGGTAACAAAATAAGAAGGCTCGTGTAAGAGAGCGAAATTAGAATAGAAAACGTATTGTATTATGTATATACATATAGTAAATTTTGTAGTACTTAAAATTAGAGTAGGCAAGCTCATTCAACGTCAGGCCGAAATGAAAAACAAGCTAGGGCCTAAACATCGCTGTTTAGTACATGTCAAATTCCAATACGAAATGGAGCGTTGTTGTAGACATGCTGCCTACTGACTCACTATATTGAACCTTTCAGAAGCCATATATACTCGTGAACTACTAGTAGTTTCCGTTATACAAAAAAAAATCTCCGTTAAGAATAACTTAAGCCTGTTTATGCCCAACCTAATAACTAAACATGATTTTGCCTTAGTACGAAAATTATCAGCATCCACGTTCTAAATAACCCCCGTAACAGTTTCTTAAAAACAGATTAGTGTTATCAGACTACGTATACATAGGGAGCCCTATTGATAAAAGGAAAACGTTATATAACTTTTTTCAGCGTACAGAACTGCGCATATAGAACGCTAATTTGGGATTCTTTATTTATGAAAAATATTCAAATTCATATTTATTTAACCTCACGTTAATTGCAAGGCGATAGAGTAAGAGACTACCCGTAAAGAAAGATGATGCTCCATCTTCTTTTAATTGGACAACTGTTTTCGTGCAGGAGATATCGGCTGTATGGCACAATTCATGAGGTGGCATTTCACGGTTTACGCGCTGATTTTTCTACCTATAATGAACAGAGAAAGACTATTTGCCAATCTCCTATTGATCACTGATTTTATGTCTGAATAGTCCGAGTACCAAAATGACAATCACAACCTGATAACGAAATAATACCTACCTAATTTTTTTTCCTTAAATAAATTCCTTGATTGGCAATTAATATTGCTGTTTTATACAGCACGAATCTTTCCGTTAATCACAAGAATAAAGCAAGCACCTAGCTAGTCCGAAGTATTTCAAAGTAAAACAAAATTTTAGATCTGACTCGCGTTGCAAAGCAAATTTGATAGTGCTTGACCTGAGTTACGCTTCAGATATTTTCCCTCGCTGTTGGAACGAGCACATTTATCTCGTAATCACAGTTGAATAAAATTAATGTCTTTTCTAGAACTGCTCAATCCTCCAGCAATTTGTTAAATCTAGCCTTTAACAAATTCGTATGGCGCTCTAATCCGTAGATAAACTATAGCAGAGTTAATCGAGTAAAGCAACCCTGAGTACGAATAAATCTTTGGCTCTTAACACCTTCAATTATCAATGATCCCTTCAAATCAATAATGCCTTTTGTGGTCAACATGCAGTGAAAAATCTTTTTTTTAATTTACCGTATAAAAAAAGCATAATAGCTCTTTATATATTGTCAACTTGTCATGCGACAGTCATAACACCGTAACCTTTGCAATCATCTTTGCACCGAAAGGACGTCGCAATTCTTACAGCTCACTGCGTAATCTAAGTCTTACTTTTGACTGTATGTGTGCCGTTAGTCCTATGGATTTTAGGCATCCATCTGTACAGAGTTGTTAGCTTACATAAAGCTGACTGGACGTTAAACATATTTAGGAACTGACAATTAATGATAACAGCAGTTTTTGGTGATTTTTAAATGTCTACAGGATTGCTTAAATGGTGCCCGAAATTTATCCGACAAATGTAACAGACATGCTACACAAATAACGGTTATATAGTTTAAGATAAGGCATTATTTATATCTCTTGGTTGCGTGACCTAGCTTGCGATTGTGGCCACTTGGGCAGCCTCACAACGACTTAGTACGAGAAAACGCCTGTCTATAGTTTTCTTGAACATATAGAATATTCGGCTGAATGAGCTTGTTGTTAGGTGATTCATATTTCCATGTCACGAGGGTCAGTAGCAACTGTCCTCACCAATGACAATTTTGAAGTATCTTTTCATATTGTAACTGGTACTATACATACTTTTCATAAAAGAGTTTGTTGGGGTTAGCTAGAAATATATGTCGTCATGAGTTCTAATTGGCTTAACGCACAAAACAAATATCATCAAAAGAGCATACTTTTTTTATGGCTAGCAAACTCAAAAATCAACTCCCATTCCGTTAAAAGCAACCGTTCGTTATCAAATTATTCAAATATAATGGTACGAGGGTTTGTGCCTTAAACTGTCGAACGAGCCCTAAACGAAGTAAATCACGCCAGGCATACCGTAACTGCACATTAGGACCAGCGCAACAGCATGGCTCATTGCATCAATAAGCACGAAATTAGTTGAAATACAGAGATGGCTCATGGATACAAAGATTCGGGAACTGTTCAAAAATGAACAATGCATTACAGTGATGTTTGATAGCTATGACTATTCGATAACTGAACACGGTACGTATGTTTTTCAACGCTCAGTCAGGCCACCTGTGCAGTGTTTTGTCTAAACGTCGTGTAAATCGACGCGTGGGACGCATCTGAGGTCAGCTGTGAGAATAGCACAAGGCTTGCTGAGAGGTGATACCAGTGTTATATTTATTCCCCAGAGCTTACTTGCAGTATTTTCGTGAGATGAGCAGCTGCGCTCCTAGCTACCGTTTTCGCAATGTCCCCTACGTTTTACTGTCTAAGTCAGCTTACGGTTAACGCTATCTCTGTAAAACTGTAAAAATTGTACGCGAAAAGCTATAGCAACGGTAATGTAATGCTATTGGGTTAATACACCGATAAACATTTTAATAAAAATGGCCGTAATACTAATAATATATATAGCACAATATAGAACAGTATACTTCTTTGCAACGATTATGTAATGCACGAAAGATGACTCATGATTAACGCACATTTGCTATGCGAAACTTTGCTCCTATGTGAAGTCACATCGTTGACAATAATCAGGATATCCTCACGCGCTCACTATCGACCTTGAAACCGACAACAACACAGCAGCCTTTTCGGCAATCAATGAAATATGTCATGGCCAGTATTGACCAAGCATATTATGGCACTTGACTCGTTCGCAGGAAGGCCAAGACCGGCGCACAACTGACAGTAGGTTAATGTATGCTTTAATATTTCTATAACGTTCTATTCTCTGGTGAGTCTCGCGTTTATCGACGCTTACCTCATTGCTTGTATAATGTTACTGCTGTGTTCAGCCTCTAAATGAATCAATCGATTCGGCCACTGTGAAGATCACCAAAGATTTTGCTAAGGATGTTGTTCGGTACAATGTTGTTTTAAACTGATTCCCGTACAGAATTTCACCAACATTCTGACTCAAAACATCAAGAGTAACTTCTCTCAGAGTCATCCAAAGATAACACACATAAACAATCCGTAACTGAGTGACAGTTCGACGCTGCAAAAGTGCACTAGAGATTTGTTGATCTGCTTACCTACAAAGCCTCGTCAGATTAGTAGTAGACACCTTCCGTCGAGTAGGACTAATTTTTTTTACCGATATGACGCAGCTTTGTCTCCCTATGACTTCCTAGTGGACGTCAATAGCCAACACTAAGTATTATGGCGATGGTCTATAGAACGTCGCTACGCACGGATTAGTAACTGATTCCACCACACATTGGATACCCTCTTCCCGTACTAGATGGATCGCTGCGACCCACGCGACGACGAATAAACAAGATCCAACACCACCTGAATGTGCCGATTGTCAGTTCTCGTCATATACTCACTTAGTTGATACTATAAAGCCATTAACTCATTGTTTGAAACAGTCAATCGTTGCAGAAACGCAATCTAAATGAATGACTCAAAGAACGATGGAACGAAGGCGATGTTCCTGGAGTGAGGAGCCAACGGCTGAGTCGCCGAGGGTAAAAACGGGCCGTCCCTGTGCTTTTCCGATGTGCCGTCTGGTGCGAGTGAGTGAGGCCGATCGAAAAATGTCGATGATGAGCCCTGCTGCGTGTTTTGGGTCGCATATGATACACGGGCGGAGGGCGCGGTAAATTTGAACTTCTCTCTGCGGTAGATCCAAAACGCAGTTTGTTACTCTGCGAATAGTAGTACGTTTCTTACGGAGGCCAGGGCCGAAACAAAGCTATTGAACAGGTGTATCTCTGTTTTGTTTGTAGATGTCGGCTGAACGAATATGATTAGCATGTGACATTGACGGCTTCGGAATAGAGGAACGAATCGAGTTGATTACTGAACATTTTTTTGTTTTACGAGCGTAAGTGCTGTGCTTTGGACCGCCGAAGAAACAAGACTTAACAATTTCGTTAAATTCTGTGGTGCAAAACGTATTATTACCGTTACTTAGGTACAAATGTTGCCATAGATCCATTATTACGTGTGTTTTTTGTCGCATACGATAGTTCTGCTATTTATTAGAAAAGGTGAAACCTTTATAAGATATAGCTACCTTCTGCCCGCTTTTGCTGGCCGCAGTTAATGCTCATGTTTTGAGACGTTGACGACAAAGAAGCCATTGGCCCCACTATCATTATCACAGACCCCAGTACCGTCCAGATGAGAAGCTGTTAAGCTGTGCGTTACGTTATCGTTGTGTTCGGTTTCCATTAATCAGAACTGTATCATTCTGCTGCTGTTGGTCGATCTGAGTTATCCCTGTAGACACGACGGCCTACACGACAGCGGCAGTAGGCCGCAACAGGGACTGTGCAAAGCGGGCGGCCAGGCTGATTTCTGCTGGTTGCTCCGTAGATTTTCGTAAGGAGCAAGTAGTAAAGCATTCTGCCACTGAAACTCCTACTTCGATCAGTGGCTACTGCGTGCAGTATACGTTCAGCAGCAGCAGTCAATAGCAGTGTTCGAGGATACAGCCCAGAATACACAAGAGTGGGCTAGTCGTGTGTTTTGAGTGGGTTTAGAAATCAGCGGTTAGCAGTGGGTAACAGCTAACCGAATTTGCTGAATAGCTGCTCATCTATAATAATCACAACGATTGTATAGTAATAATAATAATAATAACAAGAGCTAACGAGCAAGCAAAAAAAAGAAGCCAGTGCAAAAACCGAAGGCAGCCGATTCTACTAGTCAGTCACTTGCAGCTACGACAGTATCAGCAATGGTAGTGATTCTGGTCGTAGCCAACGTGAAGTGTCGCTTATGCACTTTGGTGTCTCGATGCTTTCGAAGGAATCAATAATAAAGCTAATATCAATAGCACAGCTAGACGTTAAATGAATGACTAGCGACTGCTGCGATTATTCAGCGTGCTCCATCAATAAGTGCTGTCATTGTCCTGTGTTCGAATAAGCCTGACCTGCGCGACGGACCTATCAACAATGCCGGGTGGTCACAGCCGTAACTCTGGCTCGTTCTGGTGAGTTCTGGGGGTACTAGGGCCAAACGACTGGGGCTAAGAAGAGCAACTGTTTTGCTGTATTGGGATTTCAATTATTTGCTCTTTGTGCTACTAATAGTAGTAAATCAAGTGGCCATACGAAACACAGCCGCAGACCAGTTCCTCGCGTTTGATCCGGGTAGTTGGTTTGACCACCGAGAGGGGGTAATCCGTTCATTCACCGGAAACCTACCAGTCGTACCAACTAGCCAATGTGGTACCGTTTCAACAAAGAGATATAATACCAGTAAGATTGAAGCGGCAGCTGTAGCTCAAGTGGTAATGTCTGAAAGAACGGTTGGACAATGGTGATATCTGTGAAGCATTATTTTTAGCATCTTCCAGTCTGTCTCTTTGTCTGGCGCACGTGAATTTATTTATCGACTGGTGAAACTTGAACCGGCTGAGCGATTTCGTTACATGGCAACGGCACCGGCACTGGTTTTATTTGAATGGGTTTCAAAAATTCGTGCACGCGAATGCGTCTGTGCTCTCGAGTCTTCCGCCCAAAGTCGATGCATGTAACACGTCTGTTTCATCCCCCTATATTTTTGGCTAGGGTCGTAGTTCTAAATTTGTCGCTTTAGTTAAATATCTGAACTATAAGTTAAAGTTCGGTAAACAAACTGACGGAATCAAAGATTGGCTGTAGCTCGGCCGACTGGTGGGAACGTACCGTGCAGCAGGGTTAAATAAACTAGATAAACCACACGGCTCCAACAACATCTCATAGGGTGTAATCACGCAAATAAACGAATTTAGAGCTATGAAGAGTAACACTGACACGGACTTGATGCTATGATACAAACGTAAGATAGCAGGGACTTGTAGTTACCTCCTTTCGGGTAAGTTGAGAAGCCTACCAGGGCTGAACCTCTACTTCCCTGCCTTCCAGTTCTACGTATTATGAACATTTGCTGCTGTAGGTCCGGTCATAGCAACATGTACCCGCACCACCATTTTCCATTAGAACTGATCCAGACCGTTCAGCACTAGATGACAAGTACTTTTTTATAAAACGAGGCTAATTATTATAATCTAAAAAGTGACAGAATCCGTTTTTTCTTTTCCGGAGTTTCTTTTTCTTGTCGTTGCTCCGAAGAAGACTTTTTCGTAAATATGTATGTGACCTGATCGCTATTAACGACTGCATCTGTTGACGTTTTTAGGACGTTCTTTTATCGTTGGCCCTGTTTATACCCAAAATATTCAACTGCATTGAGAATATTTACTATTGAGCAGTGTGTGCGTCCGTGCACTTACGCTCAATTGCACGTGGCTTAACTACGCAGCAGTTACTATCACAGCCGGTGTTACTATTACGAACTATTATTCCTGTTGGAAAAGGAGGCTTGGACAATTAGTGACACGGAGCAGAGGACTTTTTTTTTACGTAGCCTAGTATATTAGCTTTATCTGTTTTAAGACTGTAGAATGTAGATATTAATACAAAGCTACAATCGACGAATTAGAAGTTGAGCACTAACGAAAATACTAGCCTGCATTGATCACCAACCAGCCAATGGTTATTTTTACCGGCGACCCCTACGGGTACTGTGGGGTATTTATTAATATGTAAAAGTGGAATTTACCGTCGGATTTCTTAAATAAATCGGGCATGCTTATTGCCGAAAAAACTGTATTGTACAACGTAAATAAATGTGGCACACGCCATTTTTATGAAATAACAAAAAAATCTTAAAAGAAAAAAATATATTTAAGCTCAGCGACCTGATGAAATATACATGTCGGCTTGGTCTTCAAAATCATGTTGGGTAGCTTAACCACTTACGATACGAACAACTCCTTTCAAAGACTTTTCGTTTTTAATTTACTAGTACATATCAACGGCACGCCACAACTGTCCTCGTTAGTTCCTAAATAGTGGAAACTTGCAGAATTTTCGTGTGAGGTAGAGGTGGGTTCGTTTTTTTAAGTAGGATGGACAAGTGAAAACGTAAGGATGGTATCTGCTAATCGAGAGAAGGAGACAGTAGCCATCAACATTCTGTTACTCGCTGCAACTCAATTACAGAGTTACACCACGAAAGCTCTCAGGGAGCGCAAGTCTTCCCAGGTAGAGAATTTCACTAGAGACAGTGATTCCAGCGGGTCCCTCCCACCACGATTACGTGAGACCATTCGCGACAACTCGAACTAAGCGTTGCCAGAAAACCGGACTTCTGCGTGTCGAAAACAAACAGCGACAGAGGAAAATCACTTGGGGCGTCCGCGGTATCAAGCAATGCAAATGACTATTATTTGCTACTAGAGTTTCCTGTATGTGTACGAGTCGCTTGTGCGCACACTGCAGATGTTTAGATTTGTATACGTGTGCACGTCTGCCTATCCGCTATAACCGTGCTTATTGTACAGCTGTCGTTTCACGACGAAGTTGTCGTAACGGAAGGGAACAGCAGCGACAAAAAGAAACTAGAGACGTCGCCAGGGCTATTTACGCGTGCCGCTTTGAAATAGTGAAGGTATTGAGCATAGGAGTGCAAAACTGTTACAGTTCGTAATCTGCCGTTGTAGTGTGAGATCGAGACGGGCGGGTACGAGTTTGTCATTTTTGGCCCGTTGAAAGCCAGCGGCAAAGAGGTCTGTGCGGTTGTGCATTATCAGTTATAACGAGATATTAGAAATCGAAGCGATTTGTTATCAGACCGATAAAAAATGGGTAGCCGATCTGCGATGAACGCAACTGACAAGAAGTTGTTGGACAATCTACAATCTGATCTCCGACAGTTGTCCAATGAAGCCAAAAGAAAGTTTCCGGCCGTCAAGGAGGTAAGCAAATAGATACTAGAGGAAAATTAATGCTACTCAGTTTTATTATGCATAAGGTCGAAAGACAAATAAGGCCCAAAACAAGGTATACATTAAATAATGTAAGCGTTATTCAGTTTATTTTAAAGACTATTTTTCCAGCCGTCTATTGCCTGCACCAAGCTATTATACGTGGCTGTTGTTCAGCTAAAACTAATTAAGTTTACTGATCCGAATGCTTCAGGCGGCAGAATCCGGCATCGTAAAGCTTCGTAACGCGGCCACAAAACACGAACAGTTAGTGTTAGCTCTACGTTCTGATTCCCCAGAGATTCTGGAACCGTTCTTCGCGGGATGTGAGAGTAAACATCCGAAAATCGTCCAGATATCGCTAAACGCCATTCAGCGAATGATTAACATAAAAGCAGTTAACAATGTACGTAGCGCGGCGGGATTGCAGCATTTTTTTTTGTTATAAATCGACACCGTCATTGTTCTATTATAGGTAGAAGGCGTCAAAGTGTCCGAGATTTGAGTTTCTGAACAAATTCTGCAAACTATGTATAACATTGCTGATTGGTACCCATCTAGTGCTACTTGTTAGATTATCATTGGTGCCTAACACATTTGATTGCAGTTGGCCGCTTCAAATATTGTCAACTGCCTGTGGAATCTGATGGAGACAGGTTTGGAAGAGGTCAAGATACTACAAACGATCACCCAGCTCCTGGTGACAACGGACTCCGTGCAGGACCATGTGCTCGCCAAAGCGCTCGTCATCTCGTTCCGTCTCCATTTCACGAAAAATTTGACCACAAACAATACAGCTAGCGCCACCATACGACAATGTGTTAACTGCGTCTTTGAGAGGGCCAGGGATCATCTTAAGGAGCGCACCGATTTGACAAAGGCCTACCAATGTGTAGACGAACTTAAGACAGGAACACATGCAGCCCCACCGTCACTGGCGCGACCGTCTGCTGATGCCTATTTATTGTTTCAGGACCTCACTTTCATGGTGAACGCGGAGCAACCCACATGGCTTCTTGGCCTTCAGGAAATGACGCGAAGCTTCGGTCTCGAACTGATCGAGGACATACTCGCCGAATTTTACCAGATTTTTATCACACATCCAGAGTTCACCTTTCTGCTAAAAGAGCGCGTATGTCCTCTTGTCATAAAGCTGTTTTCACCTAATACGAAGTTTCGTGCGCCCCAGCCAACACCGGGGGTTAGCCAAGAGAAACCGTTCTTCGCTATTTGCATGCGATTGATTCGTATCGTCTCTGTGCTAATTGCGAGATTCTATTCGTGTCTGGTCACCGAATGTGAAATCTTCCTCAGTTTGATCACGAAATTTCTCGATCCGGAAAAGGTGGAATGGCAGAGGGCGCTTGCGCTCGAAGTTATGTACAAGATGTGCTCACAGCCGGACCTACTCCGATGTTTTTGCATACACTATGATATGAAAGCACACTCATCAAAAATTCTCCAGGAAATCATCAATTCACTGTGTGTTTGTGTTGAGTCGTTATTCTTGCAAGATCAGATACCGACGCAACTTAATCCGGCGCAGCCCGGTCAGCCAATTCAGACGCCTCAGCCAGTATTCAACTACAAAGGCCGCGCTATGCCTCTTCTTCACAAAGTTACCCAGGGTCCACTCAAACCGTTGTTGTAAGTGTAGGCACAAGGACCAGCGTTTAATGATAATTATCTAATTAATTTAGTTGACAGAAGTTAGCGAGTACGCGTACATGTAGATGCCATGAGTAGCTGTTTAAGAGGGTGTGCTCTGAAACGTATATTTTTGCGTTGTGTTCCGCAGGAAAATGAATTAGCGTTTTCTATTTTCTATGATCACTGTAGGCTGTACCATATTAAGTTACGGTAGTTATGGGAGTTTAGATGTGGATCCGCCAGCTAATTCGTCATATTCATGTTTTTTTCTAGACCTCGGTGAGTATAAGAGCTGTCCGTCAAGTATTTTCAAACAGAATCAATTATCATTTAGATTTTTCTAATCCTGAAGTGCTGGTAAGCTGTGTCTGGAATAATTCTTGATTTACAACTGACATGTGAATGCGGTTGTCTGCTTAGTTCTAAAGAAGAACTTGGCTTGTTTAATAAGTTTTTCTTTATCTATTTGTCTGCAGCGCGGAAATGCTAGATAAAGTCGAACCCTCCGTTGTTCCTGAGGGCTACTGTCTTTCCATCGGTTACGTTTCCATTATCGAGATGATCACATCGATCACTAAACTAATTCACAAATACCAAAAGAAAAGCCCTACGACCGAAGAGGAAGCCACTGCGAATCAGGAACTGTGCATTCAGCTCGTACATTCATCCTGGGGTGGACTCATTTCGGTAATGGGTCTTCTACTCGAGACGAGGTAAGGAGGTGGTAGGTGAATTTTTTCGTCTTTTTCTGTTTTTATGATTAAAGCTAAAAGTGAATCGTTCAGCATAGTACTACCAATTAGTCATAATGCAAACCACAAAAAGTGAGAAAATTATCAGTACTCATATATATTATTAACTTGTTCTCGATCATAAAAACAAGAGCTCACTCAATACCCCGCTTTTACAGTTGTGACGAACAGATTACCGACACGCTTCTGACATGCATTACATCTTATGCGGTACTTTGTGGACAGCTGAACATGTGTACACCGCGAGATGCATTTATCTCAGCCATGTGCAAAGGATCCTTGCCACCACATTATACGCTTACCGTTCTAACAACGATTTATCAGTCGAGCTATATTTCGCCACGAACTGTCTTCGAAGCGGATTCTGTTGTTGATATGCGGCCTTCTCTTGGACCTTATCTAGGGTCGGGCGGTTCTCTCGATGGTGGGAGTGACATTGCACCACGTACCGATCAAATTGTAGCGGTCGGAACACCCTTGCCTACAAGATCGCTCCCGCAAGGAGCACATCAGGGTCCTGTTATGGTATGCATCTTATTACCATTCCGGCATTAACAAAACCGTGTAGTAGTATTATTATCATTTAAAATGGCCTTAAATCTAGTAATAATCAGTTCATGACTTATGAGCCCCATGTTTTGCCGAAGTGCAGGTGTGAAATTATAATTACAGTTTCCGTTTCTCACTGTCCGTTTTATTGCAGCTGACAGCCAAGAATCTTCAATGTATGCGGGCATTGTTAATACTGTCTCAATCCAACGGTGCAATACTCTCTACAGCGTGGCACATGGTGCTTACAACTCTTCAGCATCTCGTCTGGATTCTCGGTTTGAAGCCTGCTGCCGGAGGTGGTCTAAAGGCACCTCCCTCGGGAACTGCTGCTCAAGGAGGTGGGGCTTCGGCAGCTCAGAGTGGACCTAATGCCACCAACCAGGGTGTGGCCGGTCAGGGGGAAGCATGTCTAACCACAGCTATTACCAATGATCTCCCAGTACTATCCGCCATGCTCAGCCGATTATTTGAAAATTCTCAGTAAGTATTTTATCGTGGAATTAACGTAATTATGCTCACGTAATTATAATATTGGCAGCAGAAGTGTCTCAGAGATGTTTCTTGTTTTTACTACCAAAAATGGGAAAATTGTATCAGTTTTAAATTTCAGATCGTTGGTTGGTTGTAAAGGTAGAATTTTATGTCAGATTTGACAACGCCGAATAGTCTTTGCTCATTTTTCCAATTGTTATCATTGCCCTGGTAGCGCTAACAAATAGGCTATATATACATCAGTTATAGTTTCGACCTCGTCGTTGGTAACCATTTTGGGCAAACGCAGATCTAGGGTATGTAATTATTATAAATTTTATGACAAGAGAATTGTTTCTGTTACAATTTTGCACGCTGCCGTTCAAAAACAGCTACGTGCCATTGGCCGGAAGCGTATCACAGGTCTTCCATGCGTCGGAGTAAGTAGTAGCTAAATCGAAAAAACTACACTGAAGTTTACCACGGAGCCAATGGGTCGTATACATATAACAATTAACTAGGATTTTCAAAATTTAACACCGGATAAATCGACTCGGACTCGCATTTTGTGATTTCAACTATTGACGATAGTGTTTAGGGTAACTCTTCCCATTGATTTTGGAAATTTCGTCCGCCATTCAATTTTGTTAGTTCGTTCGAGCACGTTTTGGCGTGTTCATTCACGCTACCGGTTGCCGGCTTATGAAGTGTTTTTTTTCAAATTTACAGAAAACTGAGCGAAGTTGCTTTGCACCATTTGATTGATGCTCTCTGCAAACTTTCGCAGGAGTCTATGGAGCTGGCTTTTAGCAATCGGGTATGTTTGATCACTACCATTTTATACAATCTTTACAATTCCTAGCGAAGACTTTGCTAATCACAGTTTCGGGTAGGTACGCTTTGGGAAGGAAACGACTCAGCTGTCAACTCTTCAACCGATAAGATAAATATTTTGTCAGCTTTTAATTGTATAGCTAAAAATTAATACGTTTCAGTAATGCTAAACATTCGTGTTTTTTTTTTAGACAGGGAGCAAAATGGACGTGGGGCAGATCCCGCCGGTTAAATCTAAGACCAGATACGAACATATATTGGAAAGCAGCCTAAATAACACACCTTTATTTTTTTACTTTGTCGTTAAACTTGGATCGATGCATTGTTCTAGGAGCCTTCCCTGTTTGCTGTGGCAAAATTATTAGAAACAGCATTGGTGAATCTTGGTAGAGTAACAGTTTTTTGGCGTCCGTTAAGTTCTCATCTAAATGAAGTTTGTCAACATCCTCACACAACGATGCGCGAGTGGGGTGCCGAGGCACTCACTTATCTCGTTAAGTCGGCTTTAAATTGCAAGGAATATAACCCACCACTGGCTGAAAACCCGGTAAGATTTTTTTTGTTTTATTACAAGTTTTCATACTTGTGATCAAGGTTAGATAGGTAGGCCTTGTTTTTTTAGCGCTAACTACCAATGTATAGATAACGAATCGCAGCCGGCGCCGTGTACATTATTAAAACGACCAGAGTTATTGATGTTGCATGGATGATTTAGCTTTGAATTCAAATAGAAATTTGTGACCTCCTTTTGGCACAGTACGAATACGCAGGTAACCAGAAATACTCGACTGCTCGTTTCATACAAAATACATGTATTTTAACTTCAATGTGTTTGTCTTCTGAGAATAAGTTAACGAGTCTCGAACGATTCCTTTGTTTTCTCTAGTATTAGGTGCTTCGGATGGCTATGAATCAGTGAGACTGCAATAACTGTCTGGGATACATGTTGATGTCTAGCCAAGACAATGCGCTTATAGTACTTATAGTAGATATTTTTGTCAGAAAAAAAAACGCCCACATAACGCGTAAACGTAACCACTACAGTACGACTGGTAAACGCTTGAGCTGGTATCTCACGACCGTAATTGCATTATTAACATGTATGAGTAATGTTAATGATAATACTTAATCCGACTGTAATAATAATTCAGGCCATCGTATGATATGTTGAAGCGGAGTGCAAATGCTTTCGCCTAGCGTCTGCCTGATCTGTTTACACGAAAGTCCTTTGGTTCTAGGCAAGCTAACAATATCCTTCGTCGGAAATGGCTGACGTGACTAGAGACAACAATTTTCGTCGTAACACATGCACTCAGTGGGCCTCTAACAATAATCTTTTTGCCCCAAATGGACTGGCTGTGTGTAAGATCAGCCCATTCACCCACTCTTAATTACACTTAGCAGCGGCCCCATAAGTATCTTTAAGCGAAATCTAAACTTCTTATTTGTTTTTTCTTGATATATTATTCGGTGAACCTAAATCTTGGTTTGTCCGCTTGACATGCTTGCTGCGGTGTACTGCCTCGTCATGATTTCCCTATCCGACGGACGACAGGCTCTTCAGCAAATGTTATTAGCTCCACTGGTCGACATGGGGGCGACGACTTTGCATTTTGACATCAGGGCAAAGCAGATCGAGTGTACTTTGGCAATTTTACATGCGGGAGTTGCTGGCGAGAGCCTTAGCCATGGATGGCAGCAGATACTTTCGATCATCGGAAATATCACCGACAATCAGGGGTATGATCTAGATCGTATGAAGTAGATAGTTTTTTTCATATTACATGCACACAAAATTCCAGTGGCTTCGTAGTCTTATATAGAATCAACAGGCCGGCCAGGGTGCATTGGGATATAAAATAAAAAGTTTACTTAAACTACAATTTTATTTAAAGTCTTTTTGCATCGTTAAACGTGCAATGGGTTGCCGAAATTTTTTGCTACGAACATTTCTGTGTCTATTGTCCCCCAAGTCTGACTTTCGTTATTTCTGGGAAATCATTGCAGTGTAATCTGCGTGGGCGAAAAAGACGCCGATCCTCACTATCCACTTCTCGTCGCTAAAAATTGCACGACAGGGTAAGTTGATAAGTTTCTATGGTCCTTGTTGTTGGGAGCCTTTATGGTCCCTTGTATTGGTCCGGGGTGTTGTAAGGAGTCAGTGGAGTAATCAGGTCCAATGCATAGCTAGATGCATTAAGTGACAATACAATTTTGTCAGTTTTTATGTGCACATATTATACTAAATAACGCAGCTCTTTCTTCGTCTATAGGTAAATAAGAAGAAACGATTCAATTAAATCAATCTATTTGTTTGGTCTCTTTGAATGTGACATTCTCTTTGCGGATTCTACAGCGAAGCTCTGGTACGGTCAGCGTTTCAGTGTCTTCAACGGGTGGTCGCAGACTTCCTGCCAATCATGCCGTGCTCATCTCTACAGCTCTGCATTCAGACGGCAGCAAAGTTCGGTCTTCAAACACAGGATCTCAATGTCTCCCTTACGGCTATTGGACTATTGGTAAGCATACTTTTTATCACGCATGTTCCAACAACAAGGATGACAATTTCACATTCTTATGTCACTTACTTATTAGTCCATTGCTCTACAGTTATTGAATTTATAATCAATACATTGTTATTCTGTGTTATTAAATGTCCTCCCATCAAACACGTTGTTAATTTTGTTCAGGGTGTGTAAAAAAAATGACTACTACATTTATATCAATATTATACACCTCCATCTGTCATCATACACGATTTTGTATCAATCGTACCAGTTCTCTCCTTTTCATAACCGACCTATTTGTGTTTATTCTATTTATTAGTGGAACATCGCCGATTATCTATATCAAAATAAGCAGCGGGTATCCAATGAGCTAGGACAGGCGGGTTGCGTCCTGTTATCCGTAGGCTCATCAAAGGAGAGCACCCCAACAGGTGGGTCCCCGAGCAGAGAGTTGACAGCCACGCTGCCTCCATTTGACCAGTTGTGGATGACACTGTTCTCTTCGCTGGGTGACCTCTGCGTCGATCCAAGGTCAGCGGTGCGAAAATCTGGTGGACAAACTCTCTTTTCAACAATCAACGCGCATGGCGGCTTGCTCGAACAGCAAACCTGGCAGGCTGTCCTATGGAACGTATTGTTCCCACTGCTCGACCGGGTGCGAAATCTTTCAGGCAGTGCGTCAACGGAAAAAGTGACGGATATGGCAGGTAACATATTGATTCACCATTCGCGCAATACGGCCCAAAAGCAATGGGCTGAAACGCAGGTCCTGACATTAGGTGGCGTTGCGCGCGTGTTCTACGTAAAACGCGACATATTACAAAGTCTAGGCGATTTTGGCCGAGCCTGGGCACTCCTTCTCGAGTTTATTGAGAACTCGGCATTGTCAAAAAACAATGAGGTGTCCCTGTCCGCGTTGAAGAGCTTCCAGGACATGCTACACATGACGTCTCGGGGGGGTAGCACCGCCCCACCGAGTAACATTGCGGCCAGTGTTTGCGGTGATTCGATGTCAAGCGCTGCGTCATTCAATGGCGATAGCGGCCTCGAATCACTTTCTACCGATCGAGTGTCTGAAGAGGTGATGTTGTGGGAGACCGCTTGGCGTGTTTGGTGCACCATTGGGCTGAACTCAACGCAGGCTCCTGCCGAAGGCGATCAACAGGAAATGTTCATTCCATCGCAGCCCTTCTTGACCGCGTTGATCCACATCTTTCCGCTACTATTTCAGCATATTAAGTCACGTTTCCAAGAGGCCGATCTGCGTAAGTTGTGCCGAGTCCTTGAAAACGCATCGGCAGTGCCGATGCACGCGGATACCGCACCTTTCATTTTACCATCACTTACTGATGTCGTACTTAGTCCGCTACAGGAAGCGATCCTGTCGACGATCGACACGATACAAAGGGTAAGTGAGAAATTTAGCTTCTTGCCGAGTCGGTACCCCAGGCTAATTTTTTCCTCTTTATGTAGACCAATATTTCGAACGTCGCATCTGGCACTACTGCCGTGCAACGTCGCTTCAGACAACTGGGTCGTAGCATGCGACGAAATGTGTTTATGTCCTGTCTCGAACCTAGAGCACTACGTGTCCCTAAGTTAGGGGGTAGATACGTTACCACTGCAGAATTAGGGGTACATGCTCTGGGTGTGCTAATTTCTGTTTCTTCAAATGCGCAAAATCAAGCTATAAACAAATGTCAAACAATATACGTCAACAAAATCGTTGCGGTGATGTTCTATTGTAGGAAATTCTCTTCTCAGCGTGTGCTCACTTATGGGACATGCTGCCGGTCCTATTTGAACAACTGTTGCGGTTCAGCGCGTACGCTTGTCAAGCGCCATCTTTCGGCGCATTTACTCCACCCTGCAATACTTCCGGTGCAAGTGGTAATAGTGCGAACAGCGGTCCTCATGGTCTCGAGCATCATCTTAATAATAACCACAACCACACAAGCAATAACCTTGCCAACAACAAACCCGTTGTAAGTAGTCGAGATAGTCACCTATAATTACCTGGGTTGAAGGTTAGGCAATTTTTCTGTTATGCCTCTATATATATATATATATATATATATATAGGCACAAACCGTGCCTCTGTCGTGCATGTTGTCCAGGGAGGAAAAATTTATCGGAGTAATGTTTGTTGAAGCATAAGTAATAAAATTATTTGAATTGAGCTGGGCAGAAATGCCGAAGGATTTATGCCTCACATAGGTTAGGTTCTCCAGACTGACCAAAAACCATCTTATCGTACCTTATTTAGAGAGTGCAGTCTCCCGTATTTGTTTTTCACCAAGGGAGATAATTTAAAATGCTACGAACACTATGGACGCAGTTTTATTCGTTTTTGAACCCAGATTGGACTCTAAGGTTGACTGGCTTGTTATGTTTAAGATGGTTATACATTATAGATAAATGTGGGGACCTATGGAATTACCCCGTGTTTAAAACCAATACCAAGCTCTACCCTGGTCGGTTTTGTCTGATTCTAACTAAATATGGCAGCTTTTCAAACATTAAAAAGCATTATGAAGAGCACAAGTCTGTTTATAGAAATTTTACATTTTCGATCAGAAGCCATAGCAGCTTTGAGGCGAGTCTGGAAAGTTTCGAATTCTCATAGAAGGATTATTGTCCACGTGCGTGTTGTTACCGGTCAAATAGTCGATTAAATAGAAAAAATATTTAAATATACGACGAGTAGTTGAAGACAGTACGGCTTATCTCATTTATGGTACAACAAGCTTTGAACTAGTAAAGCTGCCTACAGTGACCTTTACAGTGTCTTTTAAAGCATGTTGATCAATCTGGGAAATTCTGGCATTTTTCTAACACTGAAGATACTACATGAGTATATGGAGACATGGAGCTGTATTGCACCTAATATTAAATAGATATTATATAATTTTTTTTGTTTTTTTTTAAATATAAGAATTTTATAACACACGTATGTATCATATTTAAGTGCGAGTGGGTACAATTCTGTACAGAAATTTACAACGCTGAACTCGTACTTTAGCACCCTTACCACGCCTTCGGTCTGTACTCTCTGGTCTTAATTAGGTATGCAAGCTCCCCGAACATTACCTATACTTAATAAAAAGAAGACAGGCCGGCGCGTAGGACTACTTACAATATGTAGCTTTGTAATTAGCTCTCTTTTGTGCGTGTCGAAAGTTTGGCCATTGCAACGTTCGACACGCACAAAGTTTGAATCTGAAGATTTGCAGACCTATTTCTCACAGAATATGTGTCATCTGAAAGGCCAAGATATGATTCCTTTGACAAAAGGAACAGTAAAAACAAGTAAAGGTTTGTGAGGCGGAAGGTATTGTGTTGAAAGGAGCGAAGTTTCAGAATGTGAAACCGTGGTTTTTGAGCACACAGTAGATTCTAACTTCCATCGAACTTACATCACAGATAAGCGCCCCTATACTAGTTCGATTTTACTCCGAATTTCCATATATTAGTTACGTTAGTTTACTTCTTGAAGAAGTTTTTTGAACATCTGTTATTAGCAGAGCTCTGTAGCTAAATGTTAAATCGGTTTGATTTATAAACTTCTGTTAATAATTGAGAAATGATTAGAAAAATAGTTCTATACAGCCGCTATCAGAGCTTTGAGCCAGCATCCTCTACACACACATGAGACGCCCAGGATGAACCTTCTATTGCTCGATGTGTCGTTCTGCTTAAGCAGACAGACCATCGGCTTATGGACGTCATGCAAACTGCATGACGTCCATGAGCCCCTGACTCTCTTTCCGGCCCCTCCTACGTGCATCATCGTTTTTCTGTTCGAAACCGAACTTAATTTATTTCTCAATAAAAGCAATCCGTATTCGTGTAGTCTGGCTTAAAACATTAATATACAAATGATACTTATATTGCGGAAGTGATTGAGTAGTATGAAGTTGATAGCCCTCCGGGTATTTTTGTTCTAACTACTCGATAGCAGTGGTTTTGGTGATGCGCGTATAGGGGGTATGGCGATGAAGCCGGGTCGGGACTAGATTATGCAAGGCCTCAAAGACCCTGGGAAAAGCTAGGCACAGCAAGGCGTGTGGCTGATGGTGACGATGTCGTCGGTAGTCTGTACCAGCATCAGCACAGGCCTTCTTTAGTAGTAAAAGAAGCAGTAGCGGTCACGGTAGTGGCATCAACAAAGACACAACTCCGGAGCGGCGCTCATATCATCCTTTGGTTGGTCGGTCGGCCGAAGTTGCGGCAATAATCCTACGAGAACAAAGCGTGCGATGGTTGACAACGGCCTTCGTATATGGCTTCTTTTCTTCTCAGGGTCCTTTCTTTTTTGTTGTTCGGTGACAAAATAGCTGACGCCGCTAGTGTATTCGCAGGCACCAACGCTACCCGATACCCCCAAATACCCCTGAGCTTTTTCGTTCAGCCCTGTTGGAACACCAAGCCATACCGTCGTTGTCATTTGTTGCAACAGATGCAACGACCCCTGTTCCTGATACCAGTAGCACAGTACGGCCTCATGCGAATCGCGACCTTAAATTGTCCAGAACGGTTTCCTTTGGCGAAACCACCAACGAAATTGTACCACTCTGCCGTCTCTTTTCCGATGTTCGCTCGCTTACCAGAGAAGCCTTTTCTCTAGTCCCTAGAGGTATTCCCTCGTGTGTCCTCTCATTGGCTCACATTCCCCGTTTATTCTGGCGATGCTATAGCTGCTACTGATGAGCAAGCGAGTGCTGGTACAAATGCCTCTTAGAGGATTGCGCCACATAAGGCAGCTTGCGTATGGCCATGTCCGTGCAACAAGCACTTTGTAGACTAGCATGGTTAGCCTAGCTGGCTAAGGGAAACGATTGGAAAAGGAAGGAAGGCAAACGAGTCTAGTGAGGTATGGGGTATAGCAACGAAAGTAATGGGGTATAGGGTGAAGGGGAAAAATTGGCCCTGAGTGAACGACTAGTGAAGGCCATGTCGAAGCGAGTGGACACTGTACAGGCCACTTTAGTAGCCGGCCTCGTTGCTGCGTCTCGTCTGGCTGTCTGCCCCGGTAGTCACATTCACCGATCTCCGACTATTATAGTGAGGCGGTGCTACTTAGTAATGCCATACATCCCATCCTGCACATAGCATAACCTAATCCAATGTAACCTAACGCCAGTGTTCTCTTGCTTGTTGGGATCAGTTTTTCTCATTTTTGCTTAAACACTTCGGCCAGCCACTCGTCGAACCAAATGCTTCCTCTATCCGCTGGCACCTACGAAACCTTAGCTAGAAACGATCGCGCATTCCCGTCAGAAACACCACAATAAGCGTTTCAGGCTCAGTCCAAGCTTTAGGCGTTCCCATTCACCACCCTAGAATTCGGCAGCACTTGCCGCGACACGACGGAAAAAGGACTGCTTTACATCAGGAATTCTTCGTAACATCTGTGTATACTACATATGAGCTCTCTCTCTGTTTCCATATACACATGCAACATTTCTACACATACTTTTACGTACGTATACATATTAACTGCGTAGACTATCAAAAGTCCTCGGATGTGAAAGGGGCGCTTCACCAATGGTGCGCATCCGTCAGAGTATAGTGATGGGGTCTCAAGGAAAAATGCTATGAGAAGGGTGGCTACCGAAGTCGCTGTTAGTGCTGCTGTCGCAGGGGACCGCAGGACCATCTCGTATGTCCGCCACAACGGTACGGTGTTTGGAGCATTAGCTGGAAAGGCCTGGTGGTATTTTATTCATACAGCTTTTCCACGTCTCTGTCTAAACTTGGGCACGAGAGATATCGTCGCCGACGCGAGTAGTGCCATGTTATGTACCACCCTGGATCGCTGCCTGGGTGTTATCTATATATATACGGGACGACTACAAATGATCCGGATTTTTGCTTACGATTTGTCTTAAACTGCATCTTAAAAAACAGTAATTTCAACTAAATGTTTAGCATGAGTTAAAAAAAGCGTCCTTCGTTATACTTACTTAGTCTACTTGTTACTCACGCAACTATAGTTTTCATTTCGGTTTTACTTAAACCACGAATCAGCTTTTTTAAAAACATTCCCTCTCTAGTTTACAAATAACTTAATGATAATTGCGCGTAAAGCGATCTTAGTATGTGTGAACTAGTTAGTATAGCTTAAATATGCTACATAAAAAAAATTTTAGCTAATTTCGGATCAAGAAATACATCAAAAAAATACGAGGACTCAAAACAGCCAAAAAATCGATGGCCAAAGCACCAGCGGTTAATCTTTCCAAAAGACTAAGGGCTCTCCGATACGGCCTTGCTTTCTTTTTAAAAGACCGAAGTGTATTAGGCATGGCTTTGAATCATTACGAGCATTTGGTTCTAGACCTTATTGGATATCTTCCGGTTTGTCTCACGGAAATCTTTCTCAGTTACTTGAAAGCCGCGTCAAAAAGAACAATGATGTACCCCCCCCCCCCCCTTAAAATTAAGTTTTTCATCTTTGCGGGGATCCGTACCTTGAAGATAATAGCTGATCTGTACTCAGATTTCGATGAGGACACTGTAAGCCTGCAGTTTGTTCTAAAACGTACTGTCTCGTTTTCCAGTACCATGTGTAGGAGATTAATCCTTGCCCGCTTCGATACATATCCTGCTAAAGTTTAACCGAAATTAACAGGACTATTATATGTTAGTAGTATTTTTCTTTGTACATACGTGTATATATTTTTCGTTTACCCTGGTATTTCTGTTGTTATTGCTCTATAAGGACGAGCTATAAAGCGGACTAACTGCGTTTACGTCTGTTCTGGTGCTTAGTATCTGCAACTGATCGCAGTGAAAATAGAAGTGAGTCATCAAAGCCGAGATGCGATATAATTGTAGGATGGGCAAAGTAACTATCACTCCTTGACTTAAATTAAGGACTGGTAGTTAGGAGGAATGGTTGTTAGGACAAGCGCAACAAATGTCGAGATGCACACGTGCGCGCATCAAGAAATTCGTCCTCAGTAGCTAAAGATAAGGTCCCGGTCTGAGCGTATAGAGCAGGACTCGCTGAGTCACAGCAACAGCACAACAACGTTGACGATAATCGCTTGAGCTCATTGCAGCGAATCCTGGACGACTGTTAACTGAGAGTCAGCACAGTTTACCGGATGTCATTGTGGTTCGCGCGGCGGAAACTACTATTTTTTTTTGACTACTCGGAAGCCTGAGGGATGGATCAGAACTTTGGAGATAGCAGAAGCTATATACGACTGCTCACGTAAACGCCTGCTAGGGCTTGAGTATCAATCTTTTTCAAGTCCAGCTTTGTACTGGTTCAAATCCGCTGTGGACAGCAGAGAGACCTGGGTTAAAACACCATCTCATGGGAAGGAATATTCTTTGTTATGGTGCGCAGAGTCGTTTCTGCGCTAAATATAGCCGCGGTAAAAGCATTAATGCGGCACGAAAGAAAGGATCCGATTCGGATGCGAAGTTTGTTAAGACCTGCCATAAAGTTAAAAGGCACTGAGTTGGCAAACGTCAGAAAAATGCGAGGGTGAACGAAATTATCGTTAGACCCGATACAAGAACACATTTTTGGTGGGGGCGGTGGTACGCACACTCGATAAAGGAGCAGATTTTTAGGGGGTGGGGTACGCACTCGTTAACCAAGTTCTGTTTGGAATTAAAGCGGTTCCAGGTCCAGGCCGTGGCTCTGTGCTGTCACTTGGGGGACAGGTGGATGTGCAGGCGTTCAGTAAACTACTGAAGCGCTTTCATAATGACTCCGGCATATGGCCGCAGGATACCAAGATGACGGCTCAGTGTGAACGTTGCTAAAGCCTAGGGGGTCGAAAACATATTACGAGACCTGTTTCCGTTCAGGGTACCTGCAGTTACAAAGGAAATCAGCTGCAGTGGACGCTGGGGTTCGTACGCTGAAGCCCAAATCGGTGTGTTCTCAGCAGTCGAAGCCAAGAAACACTGGGGTTTGAACATACAGAGCAGACTTCTAGAAAGAACTAATTTAGATCGCGAGAAATACTAGGCCGTATGTTGAGACACATATGTGGATAGGCTGAATGTTATGGCATATATTAGGACAATTAAGTTTCTCTATTATCGCATCACCTGCATATTTGACTCAATTAGCTTTGAGCAAGTCTACTTGACTGTTCCCTTTGATGAGCATTCCTGTGTATATGAGTCAAATGTTAGATAATTACTTCAAAGACAATAATCGTCAAGAAAATCTATTTTGTTTCTATGCAACGAGAATAATCGAAAAGGCAATTACTCTAAATAACAGCGTACGCTGGTATTATAACTCCTGGATTGGCTGGCAGTGCTTATATACAGAACTTACTAGTTCCCAGATTTAATAGATCGGTAAGTGATGTCTGGTCGTCTGCTTTTCGATCGACGGGCTCTGTTTTTGGTCGACATATGTGTATTTGATTACGAGGAATGTTCGAGTATCGTTATTAAAATAGGTAGGCTACGAGCGCAGCTAAGACGGGCTCGAGGGATCGGCTTGACGGAAAAATAAATTTAATAATCAAACCCAATAGTATTTTGTCAAAGCGTTTCTCGTTTCAAAATCAGGTTGTTACGGAAACGGAGTCGCTTCGTGAAGGGGATTGTAAATTTTGTATCTACATTACCTCGAAATTGGTGCGGCTAGTACCTTCAACGCTTGAGGGAAGCGTCTGACTAGTGTTGTAGAATTATAGAGCGTGTTTTCGTCAATCGATTAGTCACAATAGAGTATGGAACACTGTATCAGTATTTTTTCTGAGCGACTATGCCATTACATCCCTATCTGTATCAGATAGACTTAATGTTCGAGAAAGACGCGCTTCATTGTTGGGGTCAGCACGTATGCATCATGTAGGTTTCTACTGATCTAAGCATTACATAGAAGCGTATCGATGTTAAACAAAGAAGATATCTGCGAGTATTTGAGAATGAACTACAATATTTAGGTAAACGTGGTCGATCACTGCCCGATTGCATAGTGCATTTGGCAAGACAGAGCTTACCTTCGTCAGTTTGCCCCCAAAGTGAAACACATAAGAATTCTGGTGGAAACGAGTCCAGGGGGTCATAATATTTGGTATTGATGAGGATTGTGCGCTACACGTTACTTTGTATATAGAAGGTGCGAACGGTAAGTGGGTCTCTTTATCGGAGAACTAAGTGCTGAACTGAGTGGAATAGAAATAGGCCAAATAAAAAGGTGGAATTGCCACCCAAAGCAGAACGTTTTGACTCATATAGATTATCGACTGACAGCCCTAAGACTACCTGTGTGTGACATAAATTAAAAATCAAATGATAAAAGCGAAGCTTTATTTCTTATCTATAAGTCTTAAACTTTTCCTTACCTAAACAAAATGTGGAATACCGAAAGATTACATGCGACCTTCGTGAAGGCAAATATTTGCTTCGTTGGATGGCAATGCCTATATAAATTAGACATGTATGTATTTTTGCTTGCTTTCTATTTTTGGTGCAACGACTTTCGTCATCGACGATGAGGAGCACAGACCACCGATTGGATCACAATGAGTTTTGTACCGTTCGGTGAACGCGCAATGGAAATGAGTGTATCATTGTACACGCAAATCGCGAACAAACGAGCTGTCATCCAGGCACGCATCCTTCATTCCATCGTCAAGGTGAGTGTAACAGGAGTTAATCTTCTGGGAACTGAGTTAGCTCCAGTTCGGGCAATAGCGAAAATATGAAAAGGTAGACGTTTATAAGCAGCGAGACTTTCAGTTGCAACGTGCCTAGCTATTAACCTACCACGTATAGTGACCTAAATTCGGAACAGGACGTAGACAGGGTTCGATACGTGCCGAAAGGGGACAGCCGCCTGGAGCAATGCTAAAAGGTTTAAGTGTAGGAAGTAAAGCTCGAACTTTTTTTTTAACCGCGAAATGCTGACGCGATCCATTTTTGTAAGGTTTCTTTTTATTCAGCTATTATTCAGCGAATAGGTAGCGGCTAGGCAGACATTTCCCTTTCAGTAGAAATTCGCATTTAGATCGTATGTGCCATACGGATATTAAACGAACTGCAATCGCGGTTTGTTGTAAGCTTAATTAAATATTCATAGGAATATAGGCATTAACAGGAAGGCACGCTTTACGCCAAAACTTGATAGATAAAACTTTAATATTAAATAAATAGGTAAACGAATGGTGGGCTAGTGCCGGGCAACATAATGATAACTGTAACTTAGATAGACTCCATCAAATGAGTATTGGTTAGACGTTTGTCTGCCATTAGCTAGTAGAAGAGAGAAGGAACATGAGGTAAATAGAACATCGAGTAGAACGTGCGCATCGATATAGAGGGAACAAGCTAGTCCATTCATTATTACTGCCGTACACTCGTTTAACAAACCTTTCCGAAGCCTTGCATTCGTACTACGAAATCTGAAGATGTCACCTGGTATCTGCTCTGTGCTATGGATTGGCACAGGGTTTCTCCTGTTTTCCGCATTAGCAGTTTGTTCTACAATACCTGCGAATTTCTCATGCTGCTAGTACTACGGATCACTTATTCCATACTTGAAACCATCATAGCCTCCATGTCTGTGATGTCGCGTATCTACACCACAGCTCATAGACATGTTTTGGGACTGAATCGATAGGTAACTTGCTAGAGTCCCTCGCTCGTTTGCTGGTTCCACAATGTCTAATGCGAAAAGTAACAGCAGAGGCCAAACCAACTAGATATACACTTATGAGGACATATCGCTACTGTTACTCGCTAAGCTAGAACGGAGGAACAGGTCCTATTCAACGTCGTACGAAATATATGAGACTATTTAAAGCCTTCAATTGCAGCAATTGAGCGTACGTTGTGCTGATAGCAGCTTTTGACGTTCTGCTGTTACATTACTTAGGACCAAGAGAAACAGCGAATTCCATCAAGCCTTGAATACGTCGCCGCAGCATCAGCAGAAGCGATCGCAGAAGAATCATATGCTCGCGTGATGCTGACGGCGGACATTTGTCATTGCTGTTAGAGGCGTCACTGTTTGCCGTTATCAGAGCCGCTAGCCTGCACATTCCATACAGCCCCAGAGAGCTTATATCTATATAATTTTAAGCTATCTAGCTTAAAATTTTTCCAAACTCCCAGCTTTGGAGCGATTTTGAAACTTTTCGAGTTTTATAAACGGGATAGTTGTACACTTGCTTATCGTTGTCGATCAAAAAAATTCCCTAAAATTTAAAAAAAAATAATAAAGGACGGCCAGCTGAAGGTAGGCCTATTTATTTCATTTATAAAAAAATACTTTGTGGAGACAATTGCACAGTTGGTAAACTCTCTCCAAGTTGATTTTTTACATTGCGTTTTAATACATGTTGATCTATCTGAACAATGGTAGCATTTCTCCTCTATATACTTGTGTATAGGTTGGACTTACCACTAAGTAGATAACTTTTTCGTTTTCTACGTTCTAATTTAATTTGGTACGTCGATGCTCATAAAGCTGATTTCATACTGCAGCGTCCTCGCTTTAATTAGAAATAGGAACTTGATCCAATAGAAAACACTAATCTGAAGAACAATTTTCAGTATGCCGTTGTATAATTAGCTCTTTTTGGACTTGCAATAGTGAGCATGTCACGCAGGAGTAAAGTGACCCTAAACTTAGCCACATAATAAACCTAAGAATTGTGGACGTGTCATTCGAAAGGCTCAGATATGAGTCCTTCGATAGTAGAAACGAGCAAATATTAACAAAATCAATAACAAATAACTGTAAAATAACAGCAATCAGCCATATAAACAATCAGATACGAAACGCACTGTGTCAAAAATGGGCGGGTTTCAGAACATAAAACATTAGCCTTTCAGGACACAGCAGATCCTGACCTGCAAGTTCTAGTCTAGTTCATTTTGCAAATAAATATCCTCAATTTTCCATATATCATTCACGGTAACTGGCAAAACTAGTTCGGTTCGAATTTTAATCGTTTGATAGCGTGGTGCGTCGTTTAGAGCTTAGTCTACCGAATTCGCATGTAAAAATCTAATGTATACTCCAGCACGCTCATTCATGGAAGGGGTAAATTTAAAAGACTGGGTAAAGGAACAACGGCATATGGATATGTTTATACACCAGAGAGACAATATCTGTTATTATTGCCGATGCCCTCTGTGTCGCATTCAGCTGTATACTGTCCGTATAGCATGGAACCAGTATAGCTACAGCGTCCTCTTCTATTCTACGCTATTTCCGTGTGCTCCCTTGGACACCAAGGACGAACTTGGCGCCGTGACCGGGTCTGATGGAAGGTTTCGATGCTCCCAGTGTCGTTATTGCTGGTGGCATAGCGATTTTGTTTGTCGGAATTTCGCAATTGTTAGCTAGTGTAGTTGTGCGAGCCCTTTTCCGTCTCAGTGCACCTTAGCTTATACTCATCCTATTCTTTCCGCTGCTACCTCTGAGTTTCATCAGCCATCCTTGTCGCCGCTACAAGGCTTTCCGTTTCTTTCGTCATAGTTTTCGACGTTGTTCTGCGACTTCGGAGCGACCAGAGCCGCGGGTGCTGGCTTTGTACTTCAGCACATTCTCCCCGTTTGGCAGCGAGTTGCATCGAGGCGAGCGTCTTCTAGGTTTGTTTTAACGATGAAGACGTTCAGACGCCCCCAGATACCTAATTACCCATTAGCGTCGAGTCTTACTTACAAGAACAAACAAGGCCTATTGCCCGTCAAGGATGTGAGAACATGTGTGGAAACTGGCTCCGCCTGTTGAAATACGAAGGGCGCAACATAACAAATCGAAATACAGAGCCAACATAACGCGCAGCGCGAATATTTGAATCGTGTCATGGGGACCGATATTGCTGCTACTGTTCGTATAATAACTATGAGAAAACTATTAGAATAGAGAATGGTGTACAAATGTTTGAGTGGGCGAGCAAGTAAAACCGTACCGCTTTATGCCAAATGCCTTCATTGGCCTGAATACGACGGTGATTTGTCAGCGTCGTCGGTGCAGTTGCTCGTGTAGTTGTTTCAGGACAAGTTCATAAAAAAGCAAAAAAATAGTGATGGTGGCATAAGGTAGATACGCACTTGGGTTTGAAAACCGGGTATTGTGACTGTTTGTTTATCTTTTTGTCCGCCTGGATGTATGGACTCACGGCTTTACAGGTAACGAAAATTGAAAGACAGTATTACAGTCTTCTTACTAGCAATACGTCAATAGTATCGTGTAGTAGTCTCGAAATCTGGGAGAGAGATAGCTCGATGGTGCAAACGATGTTCCCGCTTAACAAAAGATCATTTTTCGATTGTCATTGCGCCATTGACGGCCTGCTAATTGGTTCAGCCTATGTTCCATCTTCAACAGGAACAAACTTACACAAGATATCGGTAATGGTGAACTTGAAACCCATATTGTGACAAGAAAGCAAGAGCCCCCATATTCTAGCCGTCTGGAGAATGCTTACTGGTGCGGTTCCGCGGGCGACGTCCAAAAAATTTGACTTGTCGAAGACGAAGATACACGTTGATGGGCGTGTTAAGTAGAGTTGCCCTTATTCAGATCGTATCAGTTCACTAGGTGATCAGATGATTTAAACATAGGGATTATACGATGTCTTATAACGTTGTCCTTAAAATATGTGTACGACCCGGCCACTATATTCTGGAACAGGACTTGGGATTGCTGCAATCAGTTCATAGCAAGAACAATAATAATGAGCCGGAACGACAGATTTGGCTGGCCGGTCATATTCGAATGAGCGCCGTTATTACGTTCAATGAATGAACAAACCTTTACAACGCTACACGCAGACAGGATTACACCTTAACAGTTTCAAGGTAAACTAGGGACGTTCCTTGCTAACAAGTGTACTTGAATGCTAGCGCTGTATCAGGCCAACTGGATACTGTCTAATTTTCCAACTGCCAGCATGTTTACCTTAACCGGTTTGGTTTTAAGCGGCAATTTTTGCACTAAACCTTAACCACAGCTATACACAGTATGGGCTAATGCCTCCTATATATTCAAACTGCGGTTTATATGTTGTGGTGTGTCGAATGGCCGGCCGAATGCTACGCTCAATCTACGAGCTGTTCCGCTCCATAACGTACTCATACCTCTCACATTTGGTATGTCTTAAAGCTGCTCCTTTGAAATAAGGTGTATCTTTGTCCAATTAGATATTGAATACGAAATTATTTTATAAAGAAATACACCTGTGTTGTCGTGAAAGTGACCTGAAAGTTAAGTTTGCACGCCTACTCGAAGGCCCAAAATGATCCACGTATTTCGGTGCTAGCAGGATTTATGAAAGAGCTAGTAAGTCTCTGTCGAGCGCTTAGGGATACTGGTTGGCGTTTTACGAAAAAAAAAAAAAAGACGAAAACGTGTACCCTAGATACCAGCTCATGCTCAAGAAATAGCAGTAACAAATCGACGGGAAACGTTCAGTTAGCGGGAGACACTAGTGAGAGGCATCATACGCTTGATTCGATTTGGCGGCATTGGATGAGAAAACACGGAAGGTTTCAAGGAAAAAGGTTTTTCAACTGTCCGAGTCCGATTTGGTAGAGCGTTTCCTGAACCGGTATGGGACTGAAGATGGACCGTGCGAAGAGTTTGCGTAACTCAAACGAAGCACCGCGGACTACCGAAAGAAAC